GCCCCCTGGCGGCAGCGCGTGAGGGGGACAGCGGCCGTGGCGGCGGCGAGCGGGACGGGACGGGCTCCGACCGGGACCACCGGGGCTACCGGGGCCACCGAGCGCCGCTCCCGGCTCGGCCAGGGCCGCCACTGACCCGTGTGACCGTGTGCCACACACACACACGCGGCTGTTAAATGCCCGCAGATGGGGGCATGGCGGCTCCAGCGCCGCGCGCGGCAGGCTGTGCCCGGGCCGGGCAGCCCTTTCCTGGAAGGAATTTTCCCGATTTCCTGGAAGGAATTTTCCCAGTTTCCTGGAAGGAATTTTCCCAGTTTCCAGGAAAGAATTTGCACAGTTTCCAGGAAGGAATTTTCCCAGTTTCCAGGAAGGAATTTTCCCAGTTTCCAGCCTGAGGCCGTTTCCTCTCTCCTGTCCCCGGAGCAGAGCCCGACCCCCGGCTGTCCCCTCATGTCAGGAGTTGTGCAGAGCCAGAAGACAGCACAAAATCTCTCTCAATGGACATTCACACCAAGACAGAAATTAAATTAACAAGTGCAGCAGAGCCCAAATAATATTTCGCACTTAAGAGAGTCCTGGCAGCTGAATGATACCGAAAAACATGTTTAACCAGCACACAATGAGCGCTCAGGGCTGCCCTGCCCTCCATGAGAAGAGTTCTCTTTGGAATATAAACTGGATATAAACTGAAATATCCTCTGCTTAAAGCAGCAAGATCAGTTTGACTTGACAGCTGCCAGATAAAACAGCCAAACCCAGTTCAGCACTTAGGTAGGAAGAAACCTAAACCCATTAAAACAAGATTAAAACCCAAGAACCCATTAAAACCCAGATTCCCTGTGTCCAGCAGAAATATTTTACGCGGGGAGGGGAGAAGGAAGGCACAATGGAGACAGTGCTTGTCATCAGATACAGTTTTAATAAAATGTACATAAGTTTACAAGTGGAACATTTCTTCATGATTACCAGGAACAGCCGATCCCAACCGGAGTGCAAAATTTGAGCCCGGGGATCTGCCAGGCATGGGGGGAACGGAGGGGACTGTGGGGACAGAAGTCACCGTGTGTCATTGTGGGTCACCGTGTGTCACTGCGGGGATCACGGACACCCCCAGCTCCGGCTCCTCCCGGACACAAAGGAGGTTTTCTCGGGGTGTGGGATGCTCCACCTGCTGCATCCCACACCAGAGCGAGCCCCCTGCTCTCCCATCCCATCCCTTTGGAGGCACGGGATGAAGAACGCTGATCAGCGATATCCCTGTGGCTCCACAGGGACATTTCTAGGGTGTGTGAGGGTATTTACCCACCTACAGCAGGAACTACAGGCCGGGGGTTATTTCTAGAAACGCTAATGCAGCTGATCAGGTTTCAGGAATGTGTTTGAGAACTCGAGCAGGGTTTCAGTGTCATGGTACTACTGTAAAAGTGCTTTGGGGGTCTGTCAGTGTGCTCGAAGGCATTGATTTAACACTGTGAGGAAAGAAACAAAAACCCACAAAATTCAACTCCCCAACACAAGAGTCTTTGGTGGAAGCTGAGTTAAAGTCACTGATTAGCACTTTGGAGTGATTGAGTTCAGCAATTAAGCAGATCTCACCCGGTTTTGCTGCTGTGGCACCGAGGACACGATCAGGCCAGTGCCCACTCGGGTCGGGGTCACGGCAGGAGAGGGGACACTGGGGACAGTCCCCACAGCTGGGGAGGACAGTCAAGAAACAAAAACCCACAAAATTCAACTCCCCAACACAAGAGTCTTTGGTGGAAGCTGAGTTAAAGTCACTGATTAGCACTTTGGAGTGATTGAGTTCAGCAATTAAGCAGATCTCACCCGGTTTTGCTGCTGTGGCACCGAGGACACGATCAGGCCAGTGCCCACTGGGGGTCGGGGTCACGGCAGGAGAGGGGACACTGGGGACAGTCCCCACAGTCCTGCAGCAGCTGGGGAGGACAGTACCCCCCCAGCAGTCACGGCAGTGAGCACAGAGCCAACCGCTTGTTTTACTGATGCAGAAACTCTGATTAATCGCTTTGAGCAGAGGCTTTAGTGCATTCAGGGGGTGAGAACCAGGAGCCAGTCCCTCTCCCAGCAGGATTCCGGGATTGTCACAGGGATGTGATAACCAGAGGACCCAGGGCAGTGAACACCTTTTACTACAGCATCACAAAAGACGTGAAACCAGTGGCTCTTTTCAGAAAACCGATTTCAAAACACCCCATTGAGTCTGTATGAGCCTCACTTCATTAAGATCACTGATTGTGTGGGAAATAATTAGCATGATTCTTCCACATTCATTAAAACAGTAAGCTTCAGATGCTATGGAAATTAAATTTCCACTTACAACTCATCACGCTGAGGCTGCAGCAGTGGTAGTGCAGGATTAGGAGGAACACAAGCTGGAAATGAGAAGGGTATTAGAGTAACAGGCATTGAAATTGAGTTTTCTGACCATAACCAGAAGTCCCATTACCTTATGAGTCACATGCAGAGATACAAACGAGCTGCCTCCACCCCCAGAAGAGATTTAAAACCGTTTAAGCACGGGATGTGTCTGGCAGGATCATGGGCTCTGGGGCACAGTTAGGCACTGTAAAGTGCCTGAAGGACAGAAAAGCTGCCAAAATGCCAGCTGGAAATTGAGCCTGCCCTGGCCGAGCAGGGCTGGAGTGGAGCTTGCTCAGCTCAGCTCCCTTTCTCCCAGCGTGAAGGGACAGGCTGATGCTCCTCCAGCATCAGCTCCGTGCTGACAGGAGCTGCACTGAATTATTCAGAAGTGATTTTTCAAGTACAAATGAAGAGAAGGAAGGAGAAGCTCCAGTGAGCAGAGGCAACACCTTGAAGCCACGCGGCTCACACGGGGTACCTGCTCACTCCAGCAGAGCACCTCCCTGTTGCACAGGTTCATCCACCAAGGCCTGGCCTCCCTTCCAGCAGCTTCTGAGCACTTTGCAGGCTCAAGGGCACTCCTGGCTCAGTGTGGCTGTGACACAGCCTGCTGGCTGGGCCCTCAACTCACGGCCCTTGAATTCACAGTTTGCTGTCACAGTCATTCTCTGTGTCTCTCACTGATTGCATCCAGCAACAACCGACTTGGGGGAACACGTACTTGAAACTAAAACCACCTTTCGGGTGTATGTTTAAACAGAAAACGAAACAACAAAACATAATAACAGCGTCAGCTTTGCTGAAGAAACATCTCAAGAGAAACACAGAAATTCTGTACAGTACTTCTGTTTTCAGGAGGTGGAGATGGAGGGCAGAGAGCCCCATAGGCACCACCAGGCACCGATATTTATGAACTCCAAGCACAGCCACGCAGGGCAGGGGGGTCCCGGCTCCACGAGCCCCCCAGCCTGGGCTGGGCTGGGCACTACTCACCAGCTACTCCTGGGAGCCAATTCCTCCCCCATTCCAGTGTTCTCCCTCCCACCCCAAGGCTCAAACACCGCAGTCCAGGCTTTTCCCTCTCCCTTCCAGGCAATCCCCACATCCAGCACAACACTCGGCTCGTCTCTTGCAGCTGGAGAGATTTTGGGGGGAACTGAATTTCACCTAGAAAAAGCTCAAGTATTTCTTAAGAATCCTGAAGGTGGAAAATGGGAAGTTCCCTTTCCATTAATAACCTAGGGGGAGGGTGTGCTTATGGTTCCACAGGTCCTGGTGCACGATGGGCACCATCTGAGGAAATACTGTATCTTTTAGAAGGGTATAAAAAGAGTTTGCCTTTCCTAATAAACGCCTCAGTTTCTCTGCCAGGCTGAGTCCATGCCTCAGTCATCACAGTCCTGCTCTTGGGAACAGGATAGAAAACAACACTTCATAAGGAGAGCAAAGGGGTTTTGGTTAGGTTCATCCTTAACCAACAGGAAAGCAACAGGCTGAATTGGCTTTGAGCTGAGCTCTGTGCCAGTATAAACCAGTCTAAGGGGCTGTGGCCTCTGCTGAGTCACACCACATGAGGTACATCAGGACAGTTATGGAGCTGCTCACATCACAAATGACCCCGCAAGGTCTGCTTTTAATACTGTAAATACACATTTCTCCTTCACCATAAGCAGATTTCCAGGTGCTACACTTTGGCATAGACCAGACAGGAAACACATGTGTAAAAGTGAAAGCTTTTCCTGATTGTTTGCACGACCGTTTGATTTTCCAGCAACAGTAACAGCCTGATTGCTTCACACCACCTTCCCTGCCTGCAGCCCTGGGGCAGCAGCACTGCCTCGTGTTCCCCTGGGGGAGAGCAAAGCTGTGCTGCTGCCCTGGCTCTGCTTTGCCAGCACTGCCCAGACTGGCACCAGACATCCCAGCACGGCTCTGGCTCTGCGGGCACAGCACCCACCTGCACACCCAGAGCTGTGGCTGCCAGGGCAGCAGGAACATCACTGAGAGCAAAAGTCACAATAACCCTTTCACCTGTGAAATCGTGTCCTTTCAGAGCATTAGCAAGTCCTGCTTGACTCGCTCTGTAATTAATAAACCTTTTAATTCATCTTGTAGTGCATTTCTCCACCCAGGACCAGAAAATATGGAATACTGCTGGTTTGAGAAAAGCATCTAAAAAAAAAAGAAATAAATGGAGGGAAGACAGTGAGAGGAGGAAGGTGAGAAGCAACTGGAAAGGATACGAGGATCCTGAGAGGCAGGCATTCAGACAAACATAACTTAAACGGTTCAACTATATATCACTGCAAATAGAGTTCTGACCAAAAATAATAATTACTTTATATATATATATGTATATATTGCTATGTCATTCAGTTCAGCTAAGAGGTCTGAGGTCCTCACGGGGTGCTCCTGCAGGCAGCACAGCCCGAGCTCCTGCAACATTAAGGCTTCTGCTTTGCTGCTTTGGAAGGGAAGGGCGCCGAGGCGAAGGGATCCGCGGCGGGCAGCTCCGTAGTCCTGGCAGACAGTGGGACAAGGGACACAGAGCCCGCTATGGCCTGCCTGTTGGCCTGAGACACCACCTTGTAAGCAGCTATGGGCTTGGCCTCCAGCCCCGGCCCATCCTCGGGGCTGTAGTGCCGGGAATACTTGGCCAGGGACTGCGGACGGAAGGGCTTGCTGGCCACGGAGCCCAGCGCGTCGCCCTGCTCCGGCAGCGCTGCCTTAGCAGGGCTGCTCTCCTGGGCCTCCACGGCTCTGACCGAGCAGGGCTGCAGGCTGCCTGGCTGAGCAAAGGCAGCAGGAGCATGTGGAGCTCTCACCGAGGCCGCTGGATCCAGGAACAGGGGCTGAGCTCGGCCGTCGCCCCCCTGGCTCAGGAACACGGGCGGCGTGAACGGCTCCTTGTGGGAAGGCAGCTCTTCCACGCTCTTCTTCTTAGTGAAAGGGGCTCTCAGAAACACGTCTGCTTCCTCTGGGTGCCGTAGAGCTGCGCTGCCCTTACAGATAAAAGGAGCTTTGGTAAAGACATCCACTTCATCGGGGACCTTCCTGGAGCTGCGGAAAGGAGCCGTGGCAAACACATCGGGTTCGTTGAAAACCTCCCCGCTGTGCGACTGGAAGGCCGGGAACAGCGGCTCCCCCGCTCTGGCCTGGGACTGGGGATCCTCCTTGGAGGCCTCGTGCCTGGCCACAGGCTGCAGGAACCCCGGGCACAACTTGCACGTCTCCTCCTCCTCTTCTGAATCCATCAGTAAAGGCCTGGAGCCGCTGCAATCCAGAATATCTCCCTCGTGGTCTGTCCCCTCTCCTTCGCTGCTGTAGAAGGAGCTGTTGCTTGAAGGACCATCTCTGGCCAGGTACTCTGACTCCGAGTTGTGCTGCACTTTCCCCTCCAGCATCTCGGGCTGGCCCTTGTACAAGGTGAGTCCATCTCTGCCAGGATCTCCCTTACAGAGCTGGAGAGCTGCGGCTGGGAAGCGGCCTGGATCCCTGTGCACACCTACAAACACAAGAGAAGGGCGTTACTGACACAGCTCAGCAAGCACAGCAAAGCACACTGCACAGGAATGTCAGATGGAAACCACCACCATGCATGGAAAATGGGCAGGAGAGGGAGGGCAAATCAATGAAAAACACAATGCCAGGGAAGGTGTTGGCGACGCGGCCCAGGGGCACCACGGGTACCACTGCTGAGAGCATGGGAGATGTCTGACACACACGTGGGCACACACAGCACCCTCAGCACCATCCCACCAGGTCTCTCCCACCCACCCCTGACAGCAGCCACCAGCACAGAGTGTTTCCCTTCCCAACGTGCTGCCCGAGGGAAGCTCCAGCAGACAGACAGGTTCTGTCCTTCCAGCTGCTCTCCAAGCACATCTACTGCTTGGCCTGGCCTCTCTTCCTGTGGGCCAGCCCACAGATAGGTGGAATTGCTTGTGGAACACGTGGGGATGCCCCAAAACCTGCTAAAATAACAGGCCCATTTCAAAGACTGAAGGTCAGCTTGCAGCTTTTAGTGAATCCTAAGTAGCAGCTATTTTAGTAGCAGCTATTCTTTTACACCACTGCCAGACAAATGGTTTTTACACACTCCAGGAGCCACCAGGAGGCTGGCTTTGCCTTAGGACTCACACAGACAAAACAGAAGATCTCTTACCTTCACAGAACTACTGGCAGCTTAGAAGTGTCATTGGACTCGTTAGCAAGAGGAGAAAATCACATGAAAACTAAAACAGCAGGAATTGCAGGAAGAAGGAGGAGGGTGAGGAGGCTGGTGGTACCCAGGGTCAGCAAGGCACCAACAACACACCCTGCAGTGCCAGACCTCACCCAGGGAAAACTCTGCCCAGGTTAATTGGTCATGTTTACCATCACAGCCCTGGGGCACCAGAGACACAAAACATCCCCTTCTCCATCACTGCTCACAAGGAAAGACACAGCAGCCATTCAGGAGGCATCAGAAGCAGCATTTATTGGGAGCTCTTCACCTGGGAACATCACACTGCTAAATAAAGTCAGCGCAGGAATGAGCACATGGGAGCAGGTACTCCACCAAAATCCCCTCTCTCTCCTGCAGCCCGTGCTGTGCACACTGCTTTTCCCTCAGGGGCCACTCTGGGATGCCAGGAGCAGCAGAGCTCCCAGGGGACTCCCACCCTGGCCAGGGGTCACTGACAGGCTGAGCCAGAGCAGGACCAGCTGAAGGACCATGGAAACATGGAAAGGACCATGGAAGGACCATGGAAACCCCTCTGGATCCACCCTGAGCCAGGGGAAAAGGCATTCAGCACGAGAGCAGGGGCAGGCACAGCACCAGAACAGCACAGCTAGGTGGAACCTTCCTTCTGACTTGTGTAGGCCTGTGCCCACCAAGCCACGACATCTGGGACAGGGTAAGAGGGAGGACAGCACCTGAAGCCACCTGCTCAGCAGCACTCAGCTCTGAATGTGGGGACCCTGCTCAAGAAGCAGAATGCCTTGTTGTGGGAAAAATTCCCTCTTCTGATGTTGTCTCTGCCCACTCATGTGAGAAGGGCACCAGATGCTCAGCAGCAGTTTTCTCCTGCACAACACCAGTGTGTGTAATATTTGATTCCAGGGTCAGACACACACACTAAAGAAGATTTCAAACTATACTCAGGCTCTTTTTCAAGAGGGAGAACCTTAAAAAAACCCCTCAGATCACTCAATACCCCAGGAACACACTCTGCAGGTATTCAGAGAGTAACCTGGGAGAGCTTTACCCCAGGTGGCAGCCCTGGCACCTGGAGTTTCCCCAGCTTCAAGGAAAACAGTGCCCTGGAGTGGCAGAGTACTGAAATAACAAAGAGGAAGACCAGAAAAGATTTACTCCCTATTAACAAGAGGCAGAGCAGTCACTACAATGGTGAGGAATTCACTTCTGGAGCAGAGCCCAAAAAAAAAAGGTGAGGGGAGACAGAGAAATTCCTGGAATCTAAAGCTCCCCTTCCACCAGGAAACTCCTGATTTCATCAAGCCAGGCAGGACTCAACACCCAGGAAGAGGCAGCTAAAGATCAGCACAGTTACCAGTGTGCAGAATTACTGGTTTGGAATTTTTAATCACTCCTTCATTCTTGCACCGTGCAGGTTTTCCTTGTACTCCAGTTCCTAGAAGCAAACTGTTCCAGTTTCTAGAAGCAATCCCATGAAACAACAGTCCAGAACAACCCCACCCAGCCCTTCCAGCAAGGAGGAACAGCACAGCCACAAAGGTCAGGGACACCTGTGGCACTGCACAATTTGCAGGATCAAGTGTTTGCTCAGAGCCACTCACAGTGGGAGACCTGGAGGCAGATCCAGAGCCTCCAGCTCCAGAGGATGAGCAATTTAATGCTGTAATTCTGCCACACCTGCACCTGGCAGGAGTTCAGCACATCAACAGCTCAGGAACAGCCTGACCCCTGAACAACAGGAGCAGCCTCATTCTGGGAGATGTCCCCAGAACAGAGATGTCCCCAGAACAATCCCAGCCCCAGAACAATCCCAGCCCCAGAACAGGGATGTCCCCAGAGCAGGGATGTCCCCAGAACAATCCCAGCCCCAGAACAAGCCCAGCCAGCAGCCCCTCCTGGCTCCCCAGGCCCAGCACAGTGAGTGAATTTTTAAACAAGGTGGTTTTGCACAGCTTTTAGGCCAAAGAACACCACTAGTGCTCCTTTACAAGAAGCTCCCTCTAAAAGTGATTTTGCTCCCCAGATTGGCTCAAGCTGCCCTGGCCTGTGCTGGGGGGGCTGGAGGAGGATGCAGATCACAGAGCCAGGATTCTCCCACCCACTGTCCCAGCAGCTTGCACAGCACCTGAAGCCCTGGCCAGGGAGGTCCCAAGGGATCCTGAGAAGACTTGGACAGTCCCAAGCCAGGGAGCTGCACCTTCTGTTTTGGGACAGATGCTCCCAACACAGTGGATGGTGTCAGAAATGACTGAACTCATCTGGTTAAAGAGGAACAGGAGGTTTCCAAGGGCAGGGCCCTTCCCAGCCTGAGCCCCTCAGAGTAAGCAAGAACCAACACCAAAATTCCAACCATTCCTTTGAACCTCTGCCACCCAAACCCAGAGCTTGTTCCTGCACCCAAAGCACGACCCTGAGGTGAAGGGAAATTGCTCCACGTGCTGTGCTTGTGTTTGACCCTGCCAGGAGATCCACCAGAACAGGCACTGGCAGCTCAGGCACGAGGGCACTGCCATGGGCAGAGCAGCACAGCCCTGCTGGGGTGGCACTGGGCACCCCCTGAGCCCTGCAGAGGGGACAGGAACCTCCCCAGCCCCAGGCACGAGGGCACTGCCATGGGCAGAGCAGCACAGCCCTGCTGGGGTGGCACTGGGCACCCCCTGAGCCCTGCAGAGGGGACAGGAACCTCCCCAGCCCCAGGCACGAGGGCACTGCCATGGGCAGAGCAGCACAGCCCTGCTGGGGTGGCACTGAGCACCCCCTGAGCCCTGCAGAGGGGACAGGAACCTCCCCAGCTCCAGCCAAGCTCCAGCACTGACTCTCAGCCCCCCAGGGGACACCAAACGTGTCCCACGGGACCCAGGGTGAAGCTGTCACACAAACTCCTCAGACTGAGCAGCACCAGCACCAAGCAGAGCCGTGGGACACTCAGAGCTCCTGGAGAGGCTCAAATGAATCCCCAAACTCCACTCATCTCTCAGCTCCATTCGCTCTGCAAGCACAGGGTGAGCATTTTCTGATGAAGGAGGTCTAAGAACACTCTAAAACATCAGATTTCCACCCACACCCATGAACAGCTACTTGAAAAAGCAATAAAATAAACATTCACATCTGCTTATTTAATAGCATTATTAACAACCCAGTGCATTTGTCATTTTTTCCAGAACCCTTGAACAAGCGCCATTAGATTTAAAATCTTAAACATTCTTTAAAAGTACTTTAATTCACAGAAATCTTTGTTTCTAATATACAGTAGATGGTTACTTTTTAAAATCCATTCTCTTTTCATATAATCTCAGTATCTGACTATACAATAACTTTCTATCTATAGCATCTTCATGTTTTCCAGTCCAGCTCGCCTGTGCTTTAGGAATATAAAACAAAAAAATAATAAAGTTTCTATCCACAATTTTCCTAAGGTCATTTCCATAGTTCTCATGTAAAGCTTCTCCTGGAAAGTGCAGTATACACATGTAATGATACAACACACGTAAGCAATACTTTTATTAGTAAGTGTAGGGTTTAAAAGAAGAGTAATTAATGTAGAGACACAACCGATGGGAGCTCTATGTACAGAATTTGTTCAACTAAGTCTTGGGCTGGGGGGGAGATGGAGAGAGGAGAGGAGGAGTCACAAACGTGGGGTTCTTCCCTTCCCAGCGAGGTCGGCACAGACATTCAGTCGCTCGCACTTTCGCACGTGGGAACTGCACTGGTACTAATACAGCTACAAACACAAACACGGGGAGCAGGAAGCTGGGGAGAGTTCCACTAAGAGGAAGAGTCCTTCTGCTCACAGAGGGCTTTCAAACACGAGATAGAAATTCCAGGCTTCGTGGTAAGCCAAGGAGAACGAGCTGAGCGGATCCAGCTACGGACAAACCAAGCGAGAGGGGGAAGGAAAAGGGAGAACCCATCGAGTTGTAGCAGCACTGATTTCAAACCACCTGAACCCAGGGCATGCGTGGTCACAGAGACTGGGGTGGAGAAAGGCCCACAGGAATCTTTGTCTACTGAAACAATGGCTCCATACTGAACTGGGGTGCACTATAGCAGTTACAAGAGAAAATGGAGAACCCAGAACAGATACCAGATGCTTGACTAAAACCAGGATTAAAAATAGACAAACAGCCGTAGGACAATTTGTTTCATACACCATTTACAGTAGGTTGAGGGGATTTTCTTTTTTTTCCAGTCAAACACAGAAAAGAAGTCACAGAAAATACATCTGCTGCTGCCCTTTTCACCCCAAAAAAGGTCAGTGAAACACTAGTCACAGCCATACTCACATGGATTTGGTTCAAAACCTTGTCACGCTTCACTTAGGGTCATTTCTGCAGCTTTAACAATCTGTTTTGGTTTTTTTTTCTTTTTCCTTTTCTCTTTTTTTCCCCTTTGCTCTGTTTTCCCTCCCCCAGGAAGTGCAGTTTGTTCCCAGCAGGATTGTCAAACAGCAAATCATCACCTGGGGGCAGCTGGAAAACTCTTCACGTGCACCATCACCAGAGTATGGCCGGGAGGAACTCGGGGCTTCCTCCTCCTCTGAAGCAACTCAGAGGCACCAGCTCTCCCACCCCGTGTCCTGCAGCTGAGGGATGTCCCTGCCACTGTCCCCTGGCCCCTGCTCCTGCCCAGCCCTGGGGGAACAGAAGCAGAAGCAGAGCCCAAAGCCAGGTGGGGCCGCGCTGCTCACGCCCTGCCCGGGGACAGGAGGTGGGGCAGGGTCCCAGAGCAGCCCCAGCTCCCTGAGCAGGGCCAGGGGGCTCTCAGGGGGCTCCCCTGGACACGGCCATGGGTCAGGGGGCTCCCCTGGACACAGCCATGGGTCAGGGGGCTCCCCTGGACACAGCCATGGGTCAGGGGGCTCCCCTGCACACGGCCATGGGTCAGGGGGCTCCCCTGCACACAGCCATGGGTCAGGGGGCTCCCCTGCACACAGCCATGGGTCAGGGCAGAGGGAACCCTCAGGGCTCTACCAGCCTGAGAGAGACCAGAACTGAGCCAGAACCTTCCCCAGGGCACGGCAAGACAGGGAGAGAGGTGGCTGACTGTCTCCTGTTGGCAGATTTTCCTCTTAATTAAAGGAAAAAAAAAAAAAAAAGAAACGAAAAAGCCCCAAAGAAGCACAAGGAAGGAAACTCTTCTGGCAAGGAAACCGGAGGTGTGGGTACAGAAACTGCATCTGCTACTGTGTCACTGCTACAGGTCTATGAGCTGATCCACCAGCAGCAGAGACCTGGCTATGTTGGGAAGACTGGACTCAGAGCTTCCACTGTTGTTTCTAGAATGCCCACCTGAAAGTGTGAGAGACAGGAGTTCAGTATTGAGCAGGACACACACACGCACGACAGTTTTCAGAAGTTCAAGATCAAGAAAGAAAGAAAAAGTCAAAGCAAAACAGAATTTGCTCAAGTTCTTCTTGTTATTTGTATCACCCAGAAATGAATCCCCTGCTTGCTGCTCACCCTCTCCCCCCAAACCAAACCAGCACAGCAAATCCCTACAAACCCATTCTTTCCACAAATTTATCCAGAACCCTGTCCTTGCTAAGGGATCTCTAAAACAAATTCAAGGATTCCCACAGGCCACAGGTCAGAATTTTAAATCTTGAAATCAATTTTAGGAGCACCTTTGGGTGCTTTGAGCTGCTTCCAGGAGAACTGGGCTATCATGGGACTGGGATACTAAAGGAGAGACCCACAGAATGGATTGGGCTGGAAAGGACCTTAAAGTCCACCTGGTTCCAGCTTCTCTTGGCCCAGCCTCGGGAGAAATCCCTGACTTCCAGAGGAGTTTGTAATGCCTGAACTGCTCCTAACGAGTGTCAGCCTCTGAAAGCCAAGCCTAGTGCAGAGCAGGGTTCAGCACGTTCCTGCTCAGACCAAAAATGGGAGTGAGGGAAGCCAAAAGGTTCTGGGAGAAAAAAAAAGGCAAAAAAGCCTTTAAAAAAAAAAGTCTTGGATTTGTCTTTACACCTCCCCAAGTACATCAAAGCTGCAATCACAAAATCCTCTCAGTGGGACCCAGCTCAGTGATCCTTCCCTGCCTGCTGCTGTCCCTGGAGAGCTGAGAGCACAGCTGGGCTGCTGCTGGCAGAGATTCCCCAGGGGATCTGGGGCCAGGATAAGGAAATGAGCAGCTGCCCCCTCACTGCCCTACAGCTCTGCCTGCCCAGAGCTCCTCAGGGAGGTGGGACAGAGAGCAGACTTCTGGGATTTCACAGCCCATGTGCTGCAGCACCACTGCCCCAAAACTAATTCATATCTCCACTGTTTGCCTTTTTTCCTTCCCTTTGTCACTCCCACATCCTGGCTTACCTTGTGAATTTTTGGATATCAACACTGGAATTGGGTCAAACTCATCTTCTGTCACTTTTTCAGAGCCCTCAGGAGCATCAAAGCCTGATATCAGGTTAGTATCTTCTGCAGCATAGAAGAGAAATAAGGGTAAAGAAGCAAAGACAGCAGAGAGGCTGGTTAGAATTGCCAGGAAGTGTTAGAACATCTGAATGTTTTCAGAGACAGCACTTAGAAGCAGGAGTTTTATTTCAAAGGTGAAATGAAGTTGGTAAGTCTGGGCAGGAAAGAAGAGAGGCAATGAAACACAGAAGTGGAGGGGATCAAACCAAACCAAGCAAGACCCAGAACAAAACCTGAGCAGTCTGAAGGCTCAGCTGGAGCTGTGGCAGAGGCCTGGGTAAGCTCCCAAGGACTGAAGGTGTTCTTGGTCATGAGCATGGTGTGAGAGCTCAGGCTGCCTCTCTGGCTCTCATGCACAGGGAGAGGAAAAGGGCTGGGGGAAAAAAACAAACCACAGGAGAAATTCCAGTCATCGACGTGAGACAAACCCCTGAGCTTTCACCCACAGCAATAAAACAAGAAGGGCAGCATGGAGTCTGATTTCCAGGGAGTTTACCTGCCTGCAGAGTGCTGTGAGAGGTTTTCTAGAGGCCCCCAGGGCAGTTCTGGGAGATAATTCCACTGATTTCAAACCACATCAGCTGCAGTTCAACACGTGGGAGAGGCACTTTCAACCATCTCCAGGGATGAGATGATTTATCCACCTCATCAGGCAATTATGTACTTTCAGAGTCTCACACTCCCTGGCCATCACTACTTGTTCCTTCAGACACCTCAACTACCCTCCCAAATCTGCTCCTCAGCTCCTGCATGAAATGTTCCTGAAAGCTCAGCAAGGACACATCCACCCAACAGTTTTCATGGGCAGAACATTCCTGCCTGACTCCTGCTGGGAATAAAAGATTTCCACCTAAAGCTGACCAAGACTGAACAGCTCTGGGGAGAGGTGAGGCAAGAAAGCACTTGTGGAACTGCTCTGGGGGATCAGACCCAGGGAAAACAACCCCAAAATGCTACAGGAGAGCAGTGCAAGTGTCACACACACACACACAGGTCCATCTGAACAGGAACTGTCACTGTCACCTCTCTGTCCCCAGTTATTTATTTGTGCCTCTTCCACCACCCTGGGAGCTCCTGCAAGGATCCCACTGCCATGGCACTCCTGCCAGGCTCCCACTGCCATGGCATTCCCACTGCCACGGCATTCCCACTGCCATGGCATTCCCACTGCCATGGCATTCCTGCCAGGCTCCCACTGCCATGGCATTCCCACTGCCATGGCACTCCCACTGCCATGGCATTCCCTCCCCCAGCTCCAGGGGCTGCTGCAGGAGCTGTGCCCAGCCCTGAGGACAGGGACAGGCTGGCCAATGTCACACAGCCCCTCAGTGACTTGTGCCATCCCAAGCAGAAACATCCTGAGTTCTGCAAATGCAGATTCAGGGACCCTGAAGGCTCAGCACCAAATCCAGCAAAGGACAAGGAAAGACTGCAGTGGCAGGGCTGAAGGGTCAGCCCCAGATCCCACTGATAAAGGGTCACAGCAGGGCTGCCTTTCCATGATCCCACTGATAAAGGGGTCAGACCAGGGCTCCCTTTCCATGATCCCACTGATAAAGGGTCACAGCAGGGCTGCCTTTCCATGATCCCACTGATAAAGGGTCACAGCAGGGCTGCCTTTCCATGATAAGGGATCAGATCAAAAATAAAAAATGAGTCTGATGTTTAATTATAACCACACCCAGAGCTAAAAGTGAGGTTTGCAAAGAAGCCATCAGTGAGTTCTGGAAGGTTTCAGCACCTTGCCCCAGCCCCTGCTAACTGTGTCTCACCTTGCCCAGCACACGTGAGCCTCTCCCATCCCAGAGGGAAGAGCAGGGCAGCCCTGGAGAGCCATGCAGGAAATTCATTTTCTCAGTAAGCCACAGCAGCACACCTGGGCTCTGCTGTGCCCCAGGATGGAGCTCCACACACATCTCAGTGCAAAGTGAAGGGGCACAGGGGTGGATCACAGCCCTGAGCAATCAGAATGACTGCCTGTTTAACCCAAAAGCTCTGTGGAAAGCACAAACTCATTCTGAAATGCCATCAAGTGTGAAAATTGATTCCAGGCTGTTTTTGCAGCAATTCCTCTGAGGCCAGAGCATTTCTGTGGCTGTAGGGACACTCACCAAGTGAGCCAAGCACCCCCCAGCTCTGAGGGGCACCAGGAGTCAGCTCTGGGCCTCCCTTTCAGGGCAATAAACAGCCCAGGAGCCCTGGCCCTCCCCCTCAGGCTCCCATTCACAGCTGGGCTCAAGAACTTCTCCTGGTAAGGCCAATGTTTTCTAGGGCTGGAGGAGCTCATCTGCCTGGGATGCTAACTGCAACAAACCACAGAAAATTCCTTTTGCTCCAAAACCTTGTGACAGATGATCATCAGGCTCCCTTCTGGAATTAATAATGCAGAAAAACCACAAATCTCAAATGCCACGTGGAAAAAGCAAACCCAGGATGCATTCAGTGAGGAAGGGCTGCACACAGAGCCCACCCTTCCTGCCTGCTGGATCCCCCCCATGGAAACAACTCCACTTTGGACAAACTCTGTCTTTACACTCAAGCTGAATAATTGGGGTTTTTTTCTCCCTTAGTACATCAGTGCACATTCCAAGTTTGAGCAGCTTGGGAAGCAAACAGAGCAGTGGCTTGGGGACAAAAATAAAACATCAGAACAGGTCAGAGCACGTGTGTCTGTAAGACAGAAGGGCCAGGGCTCAGAGCAGAGGGCCAGTTTACCTTTGTGAGGCTGAGCTGTGAAAGCTACAGGAGCAAACTCATCCACGAGGTCAGCAGCAGGGTTAGAGAGCAGAGAACAGTCAAGCAGAGAGTCTTCCCCAGTGAGAGAGTCTGGATCCAGGTGAGCATCCCAGGGTGGCATTGGACAGGACACAAACAGTGTTAAGCTCTCACTGCCACATCCCCCTCACCCACAGGCAGGGGGGAGCACAGCTTTGGTGCAAAGGCAGCACAAAAACTGCTATTGCTTGTGATGGAGGAGATGCCACTGCTCCCAGGGAGGGCACACAGCCCCAGCACCTCCAGCAGGGCTCTGTCCCTCTGAAGCTGAGCCAAGGAACCCCACAGAGCCAGGGGAGGGGCAGGGAGAGGAGCTGCAAGGCCAGGGCACTCCCAGCACACACCTCTGAGAAGAGCTCGAGCCCATCTGCTGGGGGAAGTGGCCCAACCAAGGCTGCAGGAGCAGAATGTCCCAGGGGGGCACAAATCAGCTCCTGGCCCTTTCAGGGACTGCTCCTGAGCTCTAAACCACTTCACTCAGCACCTGCAGCTCAGGGAACACTGGCACAGACCCACAGAACCTCCTGAGTGGGAAGGGACCCCCAGGGATCAGAGCCCAGCTCCTGGCCCTGCACAGACACCCCAAGCCCACCCTGGGCACCCCTGGCAGCTGTGCCCAAAGGCTCCTGCAGCTCTGGCAGCCTCATGCCCATTCCCTGGGAGCCAGTGCCAGCACCCTGAGGGGAAGAACCTTCTCCAGTCCCCCCAGGGAGAGCAGGAAGCCCAGAGCAGCCCTGGGGGAGCAGCCTGAGCCCCCAGAGCCTGACCAACCTGTTCTGTTGGAGGCCACGGAGTCGCTGTGGGACACGAGGCGCTGGGCCAGAGGGGCCTCCAGCCCTGGGATCAGGCTCTCCACAGCCACAGCAGCTTTGCCTTTCCAGGAGAAGCCAGAGGTTAGTTTGCAAGGAAAAGCAGATGGAAACTGAGGCAGGAGTTGTCTGAATCTTTTACTGACTCTGTAGTGAGTGTCAGCTCAAGGGTTTAGTTGGTTTTCATTTTTTGATTTCAGCTTTTGTTCACTAGGATTTGTACAAGGCCAATTTGAAACAGCCAGAGATGGAACAGCAGGTTGTTGACACCTGCCCTGCAGCTGAACAGGAAGGGAATATCCACAAGATCCTTGTCCAGCAAAAGGAGAGCAGTGAGCACTGGAGTCCCCTTGCATTCAGAGTAACTGATCATTAAAATTCAGACAACTGCCAGAAACTGCCAAGGTAGAGGAAGTTTTATTATTACAGGGAGTGATGTCCTTCCTTTCTGTGAGAGGCACAGGGCACCCCCAGCTGGGACCCACCCCCCAGCAGCACCAGCCTGCACAGCCCCTGCCAGTAAATCACAAACCTGCAGCACCCCAGAGCCCTGACCTGCCTGGAGCCTGCTGCAGCCCACCTTCATCCCAGCTCCTCATCCTCCCCTTCCCCTCATCCTGCTGAGGCCACGGCCACAGACCAGGTCAAACACCAACTCTTGACCACAAATAAAGGCATTTTTAGCATCCTCCTCAATCAGCAATCACCTTTCTCCTCCCAAGAGAAGACACCGCAGTGCCACTGCCCCCTGCCCAGTGCCCACCCCACGGGGAAAGGCAGCTCAGCCTCAGCACCATCCAGGGGCTGCTCTGGGAGCCAGGGGAGCATGCAGAGGGCACAGGGGGGCACAGGGGGGCACAGGGGGGCACAGGGGGCAGTTACCATTGGCAGAGTCTGCCGTGCTGCCGAAGGGGTCAGCCAGAGGCAGCAGCTCGGGGAGCAGCAGTGCAGGCTCGGGAGATTTGAGGCCCTCAATCAGTTTTTCTGGGGCAAGCAGCAAAAGGAGGAAAGGAGGCAACAGAGAGAAAAGCAGAAGAAAGAAGAAGACACCATTAATGAGGAGCTCAGGGCTGGCTGTGCTGTGGGAAATGGCTCCAGCACAGAAACCTGAGTGCCCTGGGCAGCCACCCCTGCCATGCCAGGGACACCTCCCAGAGCCCTGGGCACTGCCAGGGATCCAGGGCCTCACCTGCTTCACTGCAGAAATTCTCTCTTGAACCTAAACCCACCTCCCTCAGCTCAGCACCTCCATCCCCTGCCCCAGCACAAGAGGCCCTGCCATGAAGTTTGTCCCCCAGCATCACTCAGGGCCATCAGAGGAGCCACCCAAGAGAGGTGAGGACATCCTCACCCACCCAGGGAGCCACTGCAGAACAGCCCACAGCAATGCCAGAGGTTTTACAGATCTATTTATATATATAGATAGAGATATAAGCACACAGATTCTGGGAACAGCCATGGTGCTCTCCCCACAGCTTCATTTTCCCTCCTGCCCCAGGGCACAGCTGGTTTTATGCACAGCTTTAGGCTCTCAGTGGTTCTTTGCCTGATTTTGTTTCTTGTCCCACAAGATGTCCTCTCAGGACATCCCACAAGAGCTCCTCCTGGCCCAGCTCAGGAGGAGCTTGCTGCTGCTGTTTCATTTTCTCTTGGCTTTTCTGCTCTGCCCCAGTGCAGCCAGGTTTGCTGGGGCTGGGCAGCAGCCAGGGAGACCATGGCCAGCTTTTAGAAGGTGTCAGAGCTTAAAAGCACAGAGGGGGATTAAAAAGTGCCCTCCCAGCCTGTTCCTGAGGTAGAGTCCAGCCACACATTGCAGCCTTTAAGATTTGTCAAGTTCTCTGTTCCTCACAGTAAGAAATTACTGATTGTTTCCTGTCAGAGCAAGGAAAGCAGCTGCAGAAGGAGCAGAGCAAGAGCTGCAGCTGATGGGTCTTGGAGCATCCCCAGGAGGCTGATGGTGGCTCCAGAGCCTGCAAAACCAAATCACTTCCTCCAGGAATGAAAGCAAGAGCCTCTCCTCTGCCTTGCAGCAGCACAAGGAGGAGCTGCAGCCACTGAATTAACTCTGGGTTTGAACCTTGGCATGAGCAGAGGCCAAACCCATCATGCAGTGGCTGAGAAGCTTTGGGCAATCCAGTGCTGGCCTTTCCTCCAGACCCTTTTCCCACACATGCACACCCCTGATGGAGTTTACAGTCAGTCAGTCTGCTCAGACTTTGAGCAAACTGACTTTCAACACCACTGCCAGAGATTCTGCTGCCATGCTGCTTTTACTGCTGGCCACACCCCCCTTCAGCCACAAATACTCAGAAAGCATTTTAGGAAACAGCAGAGTTAGGAAAAAACACCAATCAAGGTAATATCAATCACATCAATCTCAAAAATATCAATCAAGAGATGAGAGAGGCAAAGGGGCTGGGGGTTAGAGCAGGCTATTAGAAAGAACAGGGACTCCTGAAAACTTGCAAGTTAAAAGGGAGCAGAGAGCAGAGCTGTGTGCCAAGGTGAGGACACAGTGCCCAGCAGGCACGTGGCCAGGGCAGGAGGGGCACACACGGGGCTGGTACTCACTGCAGGGCTGGCACCCACTGCAGGGCTGCCCTGGACAGCACCAGAGCTCAGCAGAGCACGCAGCAGAGTCCTTTCCTTGGGGGGGCAGCTGGGGGAGAGAGACACGGCGCTGCAAATCCTGCAGGGACATCACCAGCTGGGCAGGGATCTGGCCCTGGCACAGCTGGGCAGGGACCGGGCACAGCTGGGCAGGGATCTGCCCCTGGCACAGCTGGGCAGGGATCTGGCACTGGCACAGCTGGGCAGGGATCTGGCACTGGCACAGCTGGGCAGGGATTGGGCACAGCTGGGCAGGGATCTGCCCCTGGCACAGCTGGGCAGGGATCTCTCACTGAGGAGAGGTTCTGCCCCTGGACTGATGAAGGTTTAGCAGGCTGAAACAGCCCTGCATGGTGCTCCCTGCACTAGGCCAGGGAAGGCACTGCACTCCCATTTATGAACTCTCCATTAATAAATTGATAAATGGGATTTACTCCACACTCCCATTTATTCCCGCTGCCCTGCTGAAATGGGATTGGTTCTCACACAACAGGGGCAGGAAGAGAAGGGGGATAAATGGAATCAGGGCTCTGCAAACACCACGGGGGTCACACTCAACAGTTGTGGATGTGGCAGCCTGCTCAGAGAGGGAAAGCCACAAAAGCTTTCCCAGAACTGGCCTGGGAGACTTTGGGGGAGCTGGAGATAAACAATGATAGCCAATTATGATAAACAACCTGTAGGTGTTGTTTCCCTATTATCTGTTCTCTTGTTATTCTCAGAATGTTTAAAAATTGGTGTCTTGTTAATTCTTCAATCGAGTGAAATGAATTGATTAAATGACCAATCAGTTGTTAATTCTTCAATCAGAAATGAATTGATTAAATGACCACTCAGGCCCACCTGTCTCAGACCAGTGTCTAAAAGAAGTGGCTCAGTAAAGACTGAGGCACTTGGGCCACTCAGCCTGATGATTCAGTGTAATTTCTTTTTAAACAGTGGCTCCTGAAGACAGCAAAACCAAGTCATTTCAGTTCCACGTTCAAGACCTCAAACATGTGTAAAATAGTAAATTGTCTCCCTTAAGATCAAACTGAAAGCCCAGACAGAAGAACACTGGACGCTCTTTACACTCATTTAGCTGGGATTCTCATGGTCTGCTGGCTTTGTTGCTTTAAATCATCACACCTCCAGCTTGTCCTCTCAGGAAATACAGCAATAAATCCATCGGGTTCCCACATGAGCAGTTGCCCTTTTGCATCTTCCCAGCTCAAGATGTAAACTCAGCTCATTAGTGCACACCCACAGCTGCTGTGCATGCCTAATTGTGCATGTGCAATTACTTTATCTCAATGTGTCATCTTGGTGCAAATAAATCCTCAGCAGCAATCCAGTTGTTTATTACAGCTGTGACAAACTGGGCACCCAGTTATCTGCTCAGAATTTATGGGCCTGCAGTAGATTTATGGTGATTAAAAACATCTCATCCAGTGTTTTGTTCCCAAAAAAATATAAAATACCCTCCTACATCAGCCAGAGTGACCCACAGAGAGAGCTCCCCTGACCAACCCAGGATTAGTCAGTGGTGAAGCCTGAAATAAGCTCATTAAGAACAACTTGGCTCATTTTCCTGCACATACACAAGGAAATATGTTTTCAGCATGAATATTTAATTCTCCCTTATTTTAACAGATGTTTTGCCATATTTTTCACATCCCTCTTGCCAGCTCCTCTTCCTAGTTACAATTCCATTAAGAACTGCAGCCATGACACAGGGGAGGAGGAGGAGGAGGAGGAGGGACACACTGACAGCACCCACTGCACCTGGGCTCTGCAAGGTCCTGACAGGCACCCAGGTGATGCCACCTGCTCCTCCAGGTGCCAGGGGGAGGAGGCTGGAGCTGAGCTTTAGGTGAAAAACCTGAGCTCAACTCCATAAAGTTTGTTTTTTTTCTGCTGAATTTATAAGCAGACAAACCCCCTCAGTTTCAAAGCTAAGGGCTGCTCTGTAGCTCTAGTCCTTGGAAATATTCATGAGCTCCTGGCCTCAGGTTTTACTTTAAAACAAACAAACAAATGAAATCTTCTTTTTTGGGTCCTCCAAAGCAGCAGTGACCCAGAGGCTGGGCTAAGGACAAGGATGGAGTTGTGCTCTGGGGCTCACTGGTGTGGGACCTGTCACACACCTTCACAGAGGGCTGAGAGAGGATAAAAACATCCCCATATTCCAAATCCCATCGATTTGCAAATAAGCTCCTAAGCACTTACATAATCTGTGCTAAAAAGTGTTGGCTGCTGCAGTCAGAAATGTGCACAGAGAAGGCTCAGAAGCAGCACTGCAAAGTAAATGAAATAGCACCAACTGCACTGGAAAATCTTGCCAAATCAGAAAAGGTCACATGGAACTTGTGCTTCACAAGATGCTCAGATTTGCAAGAGACTTTGGAAGCCAAAGAAGCACTGACTCTTAGAGGAAAGAAAGATTAACAATAATAAAACCTACAATTTCAAGGTTGGAAGCCATTTGAAAACAGCTTAAGTCAGAACCGGTAATTAATCACCTGGGGATTATTCCTCATAGAATCCTGGAATGGTTTGTGTTGGGAGGGACCTTAAAGCCCATCCCATCCCACCCCTGCCATGGCAGGGACACCTCCCACCATCCCAGGTGCTCCAGCCCCAGTGCCCAGCCTGGCCTTGGGCACTGCCAGGGATCCAGGGGCAGCCCCAGCTGCTCTGGGCACCCTGTGCCAGGGCCTGCCCACCCTGCCAGGAACAATTCCTCACTCCCAATCTCCCATCCAGCCCTGCCCTCTGGCAGTGGGAGCCATTCCCTGTGTCTGTCCCTCCTTGCCTTGTCCCCAGCTCTCCTGGAGCTCCTTCAGGCTCTCTGCTGCAGGCTGAACAACCCCAGCTCTGTCAGCTTTCCCTCCTAGCAGAGATGCTCCAGCCCTCCCATCACTTTTGGTTCTGAATGCTGAGCCTCTAAAGACACCCACCCACGTTTGTGGCATTAGGAACAAGGAGATAACCCCATGAAAACCATCCCCAGTGCCAGTGGGCCCAGCAGAGCCCAGGATTTCAGGTGTGCCTGAACAGCAGCAGAGGATTCAGAGGCCCAAACAAAGGCCAGGACTCTGCCCCCCTCCTCCCCCCAGCTCAGGTTACCTGGGGTGTCAGATAACGGGAGAGGAATGAAAGGATCAGGCACAGTCAGAAGAGGAGGGCTAGAGTCCAAACTCAGAATGTCTTTCGTTTTTTCAGCTGGTAGAAAAGAGGAAAGGAAAAGAAAAGAGAAGGCAGAGTGAACAGAGAAAAGGAGAAAGCACAGAACAAAACCCCAGCACAGGCACAGCCCCAGCTGTGGCCTGACACAGCCACACACAGGCACACTCTGACCAAGTGTGCTACTAAAAAGAATAAAAACCCAAACAAAACGACTGTTACCATGCAGCTCTCCAACACAATTTGACCCACAGATCTCAGAACATTCCCTGGCAGGGAGGAACTGTTATCTGCCTGCACAGCAGCACAAAAGGTGAAAGGTTTCACAAAGAACACACAGTCTGCAATAAAATCTGCAGCACTTTGCACCAGCCAGGCTGGGAGAGGCTCCTGTCTCTGAGAAAGAAAGAGAAGGGCTGGAAGTGCCCAGCCCAGCCCCAAGATACCTTCCTGTGCCAAGCCCCAGGACTGGGAAATCAAGGGGCACATTTTGAAGACAGACAGTGCAGGAACTGACCAGGGTACAGCAAGCACAGAGCCCAGGGCACACAGATGCTCCTCAGGCTCTGCAGAAGGTGCTTTACAGCTCAACGTGGAGCTGCTGCTGCTCAGCATCATCCACAAAGGCTGATGGAACACCACAAACTGCTCACAGCTGGACAAACCCAGAAAGCAACTCCCCAGGAGCACTCCTGTGCCAGGGACTTCAACTCCTTAATTCTCTGGTAAGAACCAGCACACCAGGCTCAGTTATAAGCTCTCCTAAATCTCCTTTTATAAATAGAAATAAGCACAAATGGATTTGTCACTCCTAGCCCCACAAAGGCTTCTTCAGCCTCTTCCCAGACTCCTCTCACCAAGAGTTGTTTTGTTTCTGTGGGGAGGCATCAGCCAGGAGCATTTGTCACCAGGGGGACGATCCCTGGCTTCTGGAGCTGCTGGGAGCAGCTTTGCACCTCTGTGCTTGGCAGGTCTGAGCTGCCCCAGTGAGAACTGAGGCTGAAGGAGCACAAATGGGCAGCAGCACTCACCAAGGGTCTTTGGCACAGAAGGGGCTGCTCACAGCAAAACCTTGGGACACAAGGACCAGAGGAGAAGCAGACAAGGTCCCACAGGCAGAGAAACTCCTCAGAGCAGCCAAGGTGGAGCCACACAGCCCAGCCAGTGCAGAAATTACTGTTTTCATCACTTCACATGTCAATTATGAGACTGTGCTCTCCTCCAAGGACTTTCCCTGCTCACTCATCCCTGCTGCAGAGATGTTATCCTTGTTCCTCTGTCCTCCAAACAGATCAGAACACCTCCCAGCCAGTTCCCTCACTGCACCTGGCAGGTTTTACTCCTTGTTATGAGCTCCATGGAACTTCCACACGCTAAGAAGCTTCCTTGGGAACTCAGGGCTCAGTTTCTTCCCACCCCTGCTTCCCCACACTGTCCTGTCTCTGCCACCCACCTGTGACATTCCCTCCTCTCCAGAAGTGCCAACCCTATTCCCTGCAGTGCCCATACACTCAGTTTGTACCAGTTTTCCTTCCCTTTCCAAGAGGTTCTGGCCATGCTGTCCATGCTCCCAGACTCACCTGGCCCAGCAGGGAAGGAGGAGCCACCAAAGGCATCTGCTGGGGCTGTGGGGGCTGCGGGCTGGAAACCTGGCATCAGGTTCTCTGTGGAGCTGCCTGCCTTTTCTGGAGCTTTCCCTGGAAAGCAGACCCAGAGTTAGGGGGAAACCTCCATTCTGAAACTTCTGTTCTATTCTGAAAGTAGGCTGCTCATCTGTACTTTCAGGCCACTATTCCACTAAGTGACTCAAGGCCCTTGCTGCAAATCCCAACTTGCAGATGAAGCAGAGTTTAAACTGCAGCTTCCACAGACACTTGAGTACCAGTCAAAGCAGCTGGTACCTCTGCCTTGGAGGCACCACTGAACTGCAAACAGAAAGAACCTGGAAGGATTTAGCCAGAGGATTGTAAAAATCCAGGGCACCAAAAGCATCCCCAGCCCATGGCACCTTCCCCTTCCAGAGCAGGCAGGTGTTAGAGCACCCTGTGCACCTACCATCCCCCAGCTTTGCAAAGTCCTTGTTCAGCAGCTCCTCAGCTGTCAGCTTGGAGAAGTTGTCATCGTCAAAGGGGTTCCACGTGGACACGTCAGGGGGGTTGTAGACATTCTGCTGTGAGGTCCTTGGCGAGCCCGAGGGCGTGGTGGAAGCAGATCTGGATGGGATCACCCCAAACAAGAGCCATTAGCCACCCATCTGAAACCCCCTGGGCAGCACTATCAGCTGGTCCTAGCCACTACACTCTAATGACTTCTAATGGCTACACTCCTCTAATGACTTCCCAATTAAAACATGCAGTGTAAGTTACTGCAGTCCCACGCTCAGAAGCCTGAGAGCACTGAGGCTGAGCAGCCACAGCTCAGGGGTTAAAACCAACAGCCAAAAGGCTTCTTGCCTGTAGACACTGTAAAAGTGACCTAGCAAGCACTCCTAGGGAATCAGAGCTCCATTAAGATCTCCAAGACCATCAAGTCCAAACTTCAGGAAGTCCTGGTGTCAAGCAGTGAGAACAAAGTGCACACCAGGGCTGTGGCTGAAATGCCACTGATTTTTGTGAGCCAGAGAAGGCCCTGGTCACCCAAAGCTTTTTGGGAGCTCAGACAATTCATCAGGACTTCGGGGCAAATTTTCCAGTGTAGAGGATTTTGTGGACAGCTGGCTAGCTGACAAAGGTCACACTGACATAATACCGTTAGTTCAGCACGAGGCAGACAAAGATAGGAGTCAGAAATCAGTGTCTAGGAGTTTGGGGGAGAGGATCGTTAGCTAGCAACATGAAGAAAAGACAAGAAAAGCTCCAACAGAACAACCACAAGGATGTAGAAGTAGGTGTAGTTAGCTGCTAAGTAACTAACCAATAATGAGCTTGCCTTTTGCAGTATGCATTAGCCTCATTAACACCAATAGAACTACGTGTGCCTATCAATAAACTCTGGGGATTTGCTGATCACTCGTATTGCGTGCCGCGTTTCTCCCGCCGACCTCAACAAGTGGTGACCCCGACGTGATACCAGTAATGGCAACCACGGTGGATGGGTGACGAGTTCAGGTCCTGTAGCAGCAAGGACAGTGAATAAGCACTGCTGAGAAAGCAAAAGGTGCTGCACCCTGGGTGATCCCATGGGAGAGCCCGGCCAAAACCTTTGTAGAGGCTGCATCAGCGCCAAGATTCTCAAAACAGAAATGGAAAGGCAAGCAGCGTATGATTGATTTACTTGCTTTTTAAAAAGCATCAGGTTAAGGACATAGATTTGCAGGAAGAGCTCCCCCAGCTGTATGCACAAGGACTTTTCCAGCATCCTCACACAGTACATGGATTAAGAGTGGTGGGGACAGTCCTGAGGGAGCGGCGGTGACGGCGGCCGGGACGGGCGAGCCCCGCCGGCGGCGCGCAGGAAATCAGCATTCAGCTGCTCAGAAAAATGAAGATGCTGCTCAGAGGAAGGCAGATCTGGAGGCTGCACTGAGAAACAAGATGGAATGTGAGAAAAAAGCGTTGTCTGTTGTTGAGCAGCTCCTGGAAGAGGACATTACTGAAGAGTTCCTTCTGAATTGTGGAAAATGTTTTACTCCATCTCACCATAAAGACGTTGTTGATGAATGGTCTGTCATCAAACTGTGTGGTTATCCTCTGTGGCAGAATAAGTTGGAAAATGTGCCAAAGCAGAAGCACAGAATTTCAACAAAAACAAACAAACAGAGTTTATGATATCACTAAAAAAAAGTGCTTTTGCAGCAACCTCAACACTGTTGCTGCAGGGGAGTCTGAAAACAGTTTGAACTACTCTTTACCTTTCACAGGCTCAGGTGGAATAGTTAAGCCTGTGCCTAGTTATGAAGAATTAAAGAAGAAACAGAGTTCCTGGAACTCTGAGTAAGAGAGTTCTATAAAGGAAGGTGCGTCTTGGCTGAGGAGGCAGCGACACAAGTGCAAGCAGGGAGACATCCAAGCAAAGACAAAGATGATCAACAGGAAGATCTCACCTTCCCACTTGTTGATTCAAAGGCACAAATGCAGATTAGGAAGCGAATTGTCCTTGAAAAACTGAGAAAAGCATTATCTGCAGTTTTGGGCCCTCTTCACATTGCTTCAGGTGATGTCTACACAGAGCTAAAAAATCTTGTCAAAACTTTCCGGTTAACAAACAGAAATATTACACACAGAATGCCTGAGTGGACTCTCATTGCTATCAACCCCTTCTATTGTGAAAAATTATTCCCAGGGAGACAAAATGTCATGTAAAGATGAAAATATTAGCAAGGATTTAATTACCCAAGGTGTCTTGGAAGACAGAGCATTTGGGAAAGGTCAGTCCGATCCTGTTGTGGGGTCATCAGTCGATTCCCCAATGATTCAAAGTTTTAAGAATTATTTATATTAAGTTTATAACCTTTGTTATTTTCAGTTTTTGTAAGTAATGCTGATAGATAGTGATTGTTGTTAATATTGGATGAATGCTTTGGGAAGGTTGTCTTAACCCCTTCAAGCACTTCTTATTGGTGAGTCTCCAGATTTTTGTGATGAGAATTGTTATTGGTGTGTTGTTGTGGTGTTTGCAGCTGGCTTTCATGTGTTTTCCTATCTCTTTGTGCAATCACCTGCAAGACACGTGTCTCTTCAGGATCCTGTCTTTTTATTTCCTAACTACTTATATGTTTCTGAGGGTTTTTATCCAGATTGCCAGTCTGGTGGATCCTTTCAATTATTATTTCAGAAGTACTCCAGCAGAGAATTCAGGAAGTTTGCTGTGTTTGGAGAATCTCTATCCTGACAGAGGCTTTGAAAGTGTGCCTGTCAATAAACTCCAAGATTTGCTGACCACTCCTATTGCGTGCCACATTTCTCCGTTGATCTCAACATTCCAGTACTTCTTGCCAAGCCCTAAACTGAGGTCTTGAAGGCAAAGACTCACTCAGAGTTTTGTGCCTACCACCATTCAGAGCTTTGCACACAACACCTCCCAGAGCCTGACCCAGCCTTCACTCCACATGGGGCCCTGGGGCTACTGGGACTTGCTGAGGCTGAGCCCCAACACCCTGGGTAAACTTGAACTTGTTGAAGTTGAGCTCCAAAACCCTGAGCACCTACTTGGACTTGCTGAGGCTGACCAAGAGCTGATCCCCCCAGGCCCTGGGCACCTACTCAGACTTGTTGAGCCTGAGCCCCAGGCCCTGGCACCTACTTGGACTTGTTGAGACTGACCTCCAAAACTCCTGAGCACCTACTTAGACTTGCTGAGGCTGAGCCCCAAAGCTCTGGGCACCTACTTGGAGTTGCTGAGCCTGACCAAGAGCTGATCCCCAGGCCCTGACACCTACTCAGACATGCTGAGGCTGACCCCCAGGCCCTGGCACCTACTCAGACTTGCTGAGGCTGACCCCCAGGCCCTGGCACGTACTTGGACTTGTTGAGGCTGGCCTCAGCAGCCGCAGCCTGCAGCAGCTGGGTGGATTTGCTGGCGGGCACGCCGAACACGGCGCTGTGGGTGACGTCGCTGAGGATGCGGCGGTGCCCGGCGCGCTGCGCCTTGGGCGAGGACGGCGGCGTCAGGGAGCCCAGCTTCTGCCCCTGAGCCTGCTGCTGCTCCCTCTGAGCCTGCACCTGTGCCTGCCAGGGGGGGAAAGCACAGTGAGCTCGCTTAGAATGGTGGGCACGGGGAGAAAACAGCTCCTGCTGCAGCGCCCAGCCTGCCAGCCATGCACTGGGGGAGAAAACAGCACCCAGCATGCCAGTCATGGACTGGGGATGGTCTGGAGGGGAAAAACCAGACAAACAAAGGGATTTGCAGCTCTGCAGTGTTTCAGGATTACTGAAATGGCACAGGCAGAGAGTCTCTCCCCTTTCTGTGGTGCAGCTCTGGAGGTAAAACTTCCACTAGGACTTGGCAAAGGCTGGCTGGGCTCAAATCTGCTCAGGGGTAGAGAGGCTGAGATCCAGAGCAGAGGTGGAAAGACTCAGATCAGCACTCAGGAGCTGGCAGAGGAGCATTTGTACCCAAGTCCCAGTGCCCCAAGGTCTCACCCCCTGCTCCTGTGGCTGTGCTGGCGGTGCTGCACTGGGCTGGGCCTGGGGCTGCTGCTGCTTCTGCTGAGCTGCTGCTGCTGCTGCTGTGGTCTTCTGCTGCATAGCTGCCTGCTGGGCCAGCAGCTGCTGCTGCTGCTGCTGCTGCTGCTGGTAGTAGTTCTGCATCAGCTGCTGCTGCTGTGCAGGCGCTCCTTGCTGCATCACTGGGAACTGAGAAACAATTGCTGGTTGGAGGTGTGGAGGACCTAGACCAAATCCTGCTGGAGGACTGGTCCACACAGGAAATGCCTAAAAGCTGCACCCACTCCCCCCAAAAGAGCAGGAACTTGCCACAAACACAAAGCTGCAGCCCTGCAGACACAGCTGTGACAAACCTGGCGCGCACACCCACCTGCTGTGCCTGCATCATCTGCTGCTGCTGCTGCTGGAAGTAGGCAGCCTGCTGCTGCTGCTGCTGCTGCTGCAGGAGCTGCTGCTTGAGGAAAAGCTGCTGCTGCTGATGCTGAGGGGTGGCCTGGGGCTGTGTCGAGGGGACCTGGGGCTGTGCCTGGGGCGCTGCTGCCGCCTTGGCCTGGGGCTGGGCTGGAGGCTGCTGGGGGGCTGCTTTTGGCTGGGGGGTGCTGGCAGGGAGAGAGGGCTGGGCACTGCCAGCTGGACCTGCAACTGGACAAGAAGCCAAAGGCAGAGTTAGGTCACTGGCCGAGGCACACGGGGAGCAGGGAGCACAGGGACACGTGGCTCACCCTGTGGCTGAATGGCTGCCTGGGCTGTGGCTCTCTTCCTGGGTGTCAGGGCTGGCTGGATGGGCAGAATCCCAGGGTTGGGCTGGGTCTGTCCTGCTTTAGGTCTCTGCCGGGGTGCTATGGAGGTTTCTGTCGTGGGGATGGGGTCTGTGAGCCTGTTAAGGAAGGAGGAGAAGGAAGGGCAGTGAGCACAGCCTGTGAGCTGGGCAGCTGCTGCACAGAACACACAGCAGGGGAAACACTCACCCACACCTCAGCTGGGTGTGACTGACACGGGTGAAACTCTCATGGGCACCCAGGCACAGTAAAACCTCCTGCATGCATTCACAACAATTAATCCAACACTCATTTTGACTTCTCTGCCAGCCGTGGCATCTTCTGCTGGTGGACAGCTGGGACTTGTCAAAACCACTCAACTTATATCCAACTATTTCCTACAACATATTGCTGGAAACCACTCAGACTTCTGAATGAGCACATGAAGGACACAAATCAGCTCATGAGCAGCTGGTACCTTTGGGCAGAGTTGTCTAAACTGCCATCTTTAGATGCACTTTAACTTTGGTACATCCACCCCAGAATCAGGTCACTGAGCTCTCCTGATCTGTGCTCAATGTTTACTGAGCTCCAGAAATGCACAGCAAGAGAGAGGAGCAGCCATGCCCCCAGCCTGCTGTGGTTTGGAGATACCAAATTGTTAACTAATGGACCTGATATCAGGTTGTTTCTGAGTCAGGGACAGTAACTGTGCTCAGTCACCACGTGGCAACTGAAGGAAGCAGCTAAATCCACCTGTGCTAATAACAGCAGAGACAACAGGCAACAAAAGAGGGAGTAAAAAGCAGGTGGGGTTACCTGGCCTTTGGTTGACTCTTCTTTGCAGCAGCTTCACTTGCTTTAACTGGGTCTGGGAGTTTAGCAGGGATTGGAGAGTTCTGCAGATCCCAAAAATTTGGTATTTCGAGGGCAGAAAACAGAGTCAGAAATAATGTGCAAAAACATCACAATAAAACTGGGAGATCTGGGGATCCCCAAAGCAATTACTTCTCATGTGGACACATAACAAACACCACGAGGTTCATGTCATGGGGAGACAGGAGTTTGGGGGAGTCTTTACAAGGGAAGAAAAGAGGGCTCAGCTTTTTGACCACTGAACATGGAATATGAACACAAAGCTCCACAGCACAAATGTTTAAAACACATGCTATTTTTAAAAGACAACCAGGGGACAGTAGTGACAAAATTCATTAATGATGCTATAAAAACACAGGCATAATAGAACCCAAACTACCTCTTATTCATAAAGACCACAATTAAGCACCTGAACATGGGGGAAAACCCCCTAAGTTTCTATTTATGTAGAAACAACAAAATAAAATGTCTGTCAGTGTCCATAACAACATAAGAAAATAACTGTCAACTCTATTTTTCATCTGAAGTCTCTGAAGACACACCAAGAAGGGGCAGATGGTTGTGCAAGGTCTGATGCAGCTCAAATGCCAAGTCCCAGAACTGCTGTGCTCAGACCCAAGTGCAGGCCAAATGACACATGCTATGATGAGGGTGCCTGGAAATCAAATTGGCTTCCCAAGCATGGCCTAATTTTCCACGTTCACATGCACAAGATCTCTTGGTTGGCCTCACACTGGTGACTGGGTGAGGAGGTAAATCAGGGACAAACAGAATGAGAAACCCTGGTTTCTGACCCCAAAAAATCCAAACCAAACTGCACTGTTAGGAACAAACAAGAGCCTCCTAATGACAGGACTGGGGCACAACCAAAGAACAGAGGGAAATGCTCAGTGCTCATCAGCAGCCCCCCAGAGCCCCCTCAGCCACCCCCCTGCTCACCTGCACATTCTGCACTGGGCAGTCCTTCTTGGCCAGTTTGAAAGCAAAGTAGGAAACCTGATAAATGTCAGGTCTCTTATCAGGGTCTGGCTCCAGCATGTACCCTTGGAGAGATGGAGATGCAGAGATCAGAGCAGCAGGACACACAGACAGGGCAGCACATCACACTTGATCCAGCACAGGACTTTTCTGTGCTGAGGGTGGGGAGCCCTGGCAGTGCCCAAGGCCAGGCTGGGACAGTGGGAGGTGTTCCTGTCACGGCAGGGGTGGCACTGGGTGGGCTTTAAGGGCCCTCCAACCCAACCAACTCCACATTTGGTACAACCAGGTGTTAACAGAGTCCTGCCTCCTCCAAAGCAGTGTAGGCTGAGCAGGGCTGTGGGCTCAGCTGGGAACAGGGCAGCACAGCCAGCATGGACCAGGACAGATCTCCACCAGAGCTGGGACCTGCAGCTGCTACCCAAGCCTCTGGGGCAGGGAGGGAAATGCTGCCTGGCCAGGGAACAGCACTGGGTGGGACTGGGCACTTAGGTGAAGCACAGGAAAAGGGTTGATCCAGCCCTGGTGTGCCAGCAGGGCACAGACAGGGCAGCCACAGGCACCACTGCAGACAGCCCACATCAGCAAAGAAAATACCAGCCTGCTCTGCAAACACATCCAACTCTGTGTGAGTCAAGACTGTGGCTAGGGAAAGGGAAAAAAAATCAAAAGCTGTGCTGGAAACAAGAGAGCTGCCCCAGCTTTGCCAAGAGTAGTGCATTGTACACTTAATTACACATTCACTCTAGTCAGTGGGATATTTATAAATCATTTCAGTTCTGTTGCCCAGTTTACAGGAGATGAATTCTTATCACTAGCCTAAGTCACTGTGATCTTTTCAGTTCCCTATCCAAACAGATTTATTACAGCAGAAATACGTTTCTGCATAAACAGGCTGATTGTGCAAGCTCCTGCAGGACTCACACCAAACTGCAGTGTGTGCTCCACAGAGCTCCACAGCCTGGCCAGACAGGAATCTCACTGCAGGAGTGATCTCCTAAACCAGTCCAGGATCACTTTAACCACCTCAGTGTGCAGGGAAGCTTCTGGAAGGGAGAGGAACTCGTGGCTGAGCTGCAGGAGCAGAGCCTGGGGACACTCACGGATGAGGCAGTGCATGTCCTGGGAGTGCCTCGAGTTGTCTGGGATGGTGAAGTTGCCATCACAAATGGCCACCTGGCTCTCCCCAAAGGGCAAGGTGAAGTAGCACAGCTTGTACAGCAAACAGCCCAGGGCCTGCAGAGAGAGAACAGGGCAGGGATTCACCACACTGAGCCCAGCAGGGTCCTGGGTGCTGCTGGTGTCAGGCCTGCCCCAGCACCCTGTGAGGGAGCTGGGACAGCACAGCTCCAGGGGAAGATGAAGATGAAGATGCAGAGCTCTCCCTCATCAGACTGATCTGGGGGATTGCTCATCATCACACGACCCTGCATGTCACTGAACCCTTCCTGCCACACACTGTGAGGAAAGAGCAAAGCAACAGCACAAATAAATGGCAACCACCATCATTAATACATCCATTCTGACAAAGAGAAACCCAAACTGTTTCCAAGATTAAGTCCAAACAACCTTTCGAGTGCTATAAATAAATGCCAGGGAAGTACAGCTCATTCTGCAGGCTGCCAGGTTCTGCCACCCTTCCCTCTACTGCCACGCTGCTTTTGGCACCAAGAGCCACCACCTATTGCAGAAGAAAACAGTTTTTGCACAAAGGCCTAATTATGAAACACTCCCACCACCTCAGAGGGGGGAGCAGGAAACATTTCCTAATCCTAAGAAACTCACCATCAGCTCGTCTCTTTTGTCACAGGATTTCACAATGAAACTGCACGCTGGCTTAAAGCAACCCTGGCTTAAAGCAACCCTGATAAGGTTCTCGTCTCTTTTGTCACAGGATTTCACAATGAAACTGCACACTGGCTTAAAGCAACCCTGATAAGGTGTCAGGGAAAGGGAGGTTTCCAGCAGGACAAGCACTGCAACAGGCCTGGAAGCTGAGGCCCCACCACCACACACTGCTCTGGACACGCTCCAAGTGTCACTGGAACACAACTCCTGCCATGCCAGGAGGAGCAGAGCCTTTGGATCTCCCCTTTCCACACTGCCACAGGAAGGAGAGCAAATCCTGGTTCTCCTCTGGCTGCCTTTGGGGCCCTTCCCACTGTCCAGTGGGTCCTTTGCCACGGGCACAGCTGGGGCCTCCAGGCCAGTGACCCTTCCCAGTGCAGGGCTGACCCCACAGACCCCTGGTTCAACCTGCTCCCCCTGCTCAGGAGCTGCTCACTGAGGGGACTTTCAGCACATGGCACACCAGCAATCCTCCCTCTTGTAGATGCAGAACTATTGAACATAGATCAAAACTCTCTTTCTCTGCTTCTGCCACGTTACCTCCTAGCTCAGGGTTCCAAAAAACACAAAACATGCTCCCAATTAGCATTTGAAACACTTTTAAAATGCTGAACTGCCACTCCAAACAGCACAGCCTCTTTTTCACCTCTGTCCCACCCAAAGGAGACCAGGTGAGCCAGGAATGGATTCCACCACAGCTGGATTTTGCTCCCACCATGAAGAGCATGGCAGGATTGCCCTGGCCACCAGAAACAGTGCAGAAGTTTGGCCTTTGGCCAGTTTGACAACTCAGCCCTGTGTCACACAGGATGGGCACACTGCTGCTGCTGGGGCAGGGCCATTTTCTCAGATTTCTTCTTAATTCTGGCCAGAACTTTGATTCCACATACCAACAACCCAGCCCAGGCACAACGTACCACAACACCCTGAATTTTCTGGTTTAACTCTTATGATACAAAATCAGGTTTGCCCCATTCAACCCTGGAGTTTCACCCATCTCTAAATTGAAAGCACACAGGAGGAGCACACAGGTTTGCTGCACCAGCCTCCCTTCTCAGCAGGAGCTCCTCAGAGGAATTCTGCACTCAGAGACTGAACAGGCTCCCAGAACACCAGGCCAGCCCTGTTTCCATGCCATGGCAGTGAAAGGATGCCCAGGGGATTGCATACATACCCAAATGTCTGCTTTTGTGGTGATGAGTTTGCCACTGTACAGGTTCACCATCTCTGGTGCTCTGTAGGACAACGTCGTGTACCTGCAGGGAAAGGTGGATCAGGGACTTCAAAAGGGGGATAGCAGGCATGGCACATTCCCAAATAATCCCAAATTCATTCTTTCCCTATTCATTTTAAGGAAAAGGATGCTAAAGATATCTATTGGAAAAATGTTCTAACAGCATCACCTGCTACACACCTCAAACAATAAACCACCCCTGGGAAGCCAAAATAGTAACCACAATCCTCTCTAAAGCACAGAATTCACCACAAAATGTGCAGTCATGTTAAGAACAGAAACATTTGAGGATTCAAAGCATTAACAAGGTCAGTAATCAGATGTCCCCTGCAATGCCCTCACTGCAGGGCTGTGGCCAACTGTATTACAGAGATTGGGACTGGATATGTTGGATATGTGGCTCCTAAAAAGAAGATTTCCACACCAGGAGTCCTGCTCAGATCCCAAGGGATGGGTCACTGTGTGCCTCAAAGCACAGTGAGAATCTGCCTCATCTTAACAGATCACAACAACCAGAAAAGCTGCAAACTGCTCCACAGATTATGAGGCTCTTGTGATAAGATTTCCTGCCAGCAGGTCTGTCATTGCTGCCTGCTGCTTACCCTGATCACAGGAAAGCATTGCCAAAGGCAAAGGTTTTGTAGGCTTAAGTGTACAAGTAGGGCACTCCAAGGGGACTGCAAGGCTGGATTAGGAGCCTGAAAACTCCAAACAAGCCTAGGAAATCCAGGCAGGTGTAGCTGAATCCCAGCAAAAAGGCATCTGTACCCATTCTTGACTGTGCTAACAGCAGTGGCCAGTCTGCAGGGTGTTGTTAAAGCAAGGCCAAGGACCTGGAGTGTGCTCCACCCCTACCCAGGGCTCACTGAACTGCAGGTGAACCCTCTTTTAAAAAGCACCAAGGGGCACCAGAGATGCTGCCAGGACAGCTGGCAGTGTGTGGGGCAGGAGGAGGAGCTGGACTGCAGCCCTCCAGGAGCTGGAATTTCCTGGGATCAGCCCCAGTCAGTGCCCAGCTCCGTGGGGAAGGGAGCTCAGCCAGGATGGGACTGTGCCAGCCCAGCCTGGAGCTCAGTGAAGCCAAGACAGATGAAGGACAGCCAGCCTGACCCTGCACAGGACAGAACAGGTCACTGCCTCGCCGAGGTGGGGCTGCTGCTCTGCATTAATCTCAGGTCCAAAGCAATTACATCAAGCTCAATTTATTGTTTCACCTTCCCCAGGGCACTCATTCACCTGCAGCAGACACTGCCATGCAGCACAGCCAATCTGCTGCAACAGGCTGAGCAAAACCAAGCCCAGCTCAAGAGAAAATTACCCTTCAAACACAAATACAGCTGAGCTGGAAAGGCAAAGCACACTCACTTCTTGATCTCCTCCTCGACTGCATTCACCCCCTCGGTTTGAGGGTTCTGGAATTTGTTGGTAGCACTCCCAAAGTCACACAGGACGTAGTGGCCACGGTCATGCAGCAGGATGTTCTCAACCTGGGAGCATCACAGACAGACACAGAATCACTCAGACAAAAAAATATTCACAGTTTGGTTTGGTTTTTTTTTTCAGATGAGTCAAGGTTTTAAGTGCCTGAAGACATATCAGACATATCTGACACTAAAGCCTGAAGTGACAGCAAAGAAAACAGGCATCAAAACTGTCACATCTCCTAAAATAGACATCAAATCATGGAAGCACAGCTGTAACTCTGCCTTCCATCCTGCCACCCCTCCCTTCTCCTCCTGCAAGCACATCTCCTTGCCTCTTGTAAGACTTCAGTGCCTTTGGAGCTCAATATTCCTGAGCTACTGTGGCCCTGGGCTGGCATCTGAACTGGGGACAGGAAATCCAAGCTGTCCCAGCTTTACAAAGGGCTGTAACTCCTCACAGTCTATGGGAGAGGCAAACAAATAACACACACACTTCCATATTTATAAAATTAAAACACATCTGCAGCTCTTTGCCTGCATCTCACCTGTCCCTGAGGGTCTCAATCCAAACAAACCTCAGCTCATGCTCACATTTATTTGCCTGCTCTCAGAGTCTGCTGGGTGCCCACAGTCCCTAAACAGAAGCTGTAGCAGCACAGGCTCCCCCAGGCTGCTGAGGACAACCCCTTCTTTCAAATATTATTTGGTACCTTCAATCAGGCCACAGAAACAAATAAAAGCAGCAGAAACCTTTTCTCCTCCACACTCACAACTGTGCATTAACAAAACTCTTACCTTGCACCCACCTAAGGAAATTGCCTGTTCCAACACTGACTTTAAATGTGTGAAACCCTGTGTTCAGATCTTTGCTTTGGCAGAGCATCCCTGTGTTCCAACTCCTCATCTGTGCAGCAGCACTAACAGCATGTTCTCTCAAGGGAACACACCATTTTTCATGTCTTTATCTTCAATCAGTGTCAAATGCTCAGATACAACACCGAGATAAAACACACTGCTCATAGAGCTCAAAATAAATAAAAAAATCACCACATAAGCGTTTGCTAACAAAACCCTTTGGAAGCAGAGCTCCCCATCAAGGATGGTCTTTACAAGAAGGAAAGAAAAAGAAGGAGTCAGCATTTTAAGCATCAGAAAATGCAGCCAAATTAGAGCAGCTGAGGGGGAGAAGGCTGGCTTGAAACCAAGGGTTAAACACGCCCCTTCCCCTGTGCCATCCATCTGCTTTGAATAAAGCACTGCACACAGATGTTCTCCCCAGCACATCAACACTGGCCCTGTTATTCCCTGCTCCCTGCAAGTACTCCTCCAACACTTCCCAAGAGTCCTCCCTCTTTATCTGCCTGAGCAGCCTGATTTCTCACTCAGACACCCTGAAAGGTTTGTTAGACATCAGCACAGGACCATCCAGCAGCCAGGTTTGATCAGCAAAGGCCAGGAGAAGGAAAAAAATAAACACAGCAAAAGAAATTACTGCTACCACTGCCAGGCTAGAGAAAAGTGGCTTTAAAAGGAGTATGAAGGTGTCTTCTTCTGGTCAAACACCCAGGGGGTGACACAGGATCTTTGTGTGCCCCCACTCAAGTGCCATGTCCCCTTTGCTGGGTAAAGGTGCTGCTGTCCCCAGCTGTTGGTCACCTCTCAGCAGCTGGGGGCTGTGCCAGCAGGAGGCTGCTCTGCTCCAGGCAAAGCCTCTGGGTTAATTCAAAATCAGAGCCAGGGGCCAGTGAAACTCCTCCAGCTGCACTTGTGTGAATGGCTGAAAGCTCATTCACAGCCTCCCTTCTGCTGGCAGGAACCTCCAGCTCCAGAGCAGCATCAAAGAGCTGGAAGGCAAAAAAGGCCTCCAGGCCCCAGCTGCCTGCAAAGCCAACATCTGCCCCCTCCTCAGCAGGGTGATATTCACCCCAAGAAAACACCCACGTGTCCTTCCTGACACCCAGGACTTGTACTGAACTTCTCTGGCCCTTCATCTCTCTTGGCTCTGCAACTGCCCCTTGACAGTGTTACATTTTAACACAAATAAAGTCAAAATAGATATAAATATGAATTCTGTGTTAGTGCTTAGATGCCCAGAGGTCACCATGACAGAAACAATACACTGCTCAAGCAGAAAACATGTCTCCAAGCAGAGAAGAGCCAACCCTGACTCTGGGCACAGCTTACCAAGAGTCAAGCCTTGCAAAACCTCCCCTGGCCTAGGCTGGACACCAGCCCCAAGAGCCCATTTCAACTGCAACTCAGGAGAAAGTAACACCACAGATCAACTCACTAATCCAGCACAGATGTCCCAGATTTACTCCCCTGCAACACACTGAGTTTGTTCTGTATGAACCCCCCAGGGATTCACCAAAAAGGTAAGGGCAGGGTTAGTGTCAGCTGGGGAGGCTCCTGGTCCTCACCCTGCTTTTCTGACCTAGACAAACTCCTGCAAGCTGCCCACAGACTTTACAGCCCTAAATCCAGGACTCAGAATGGTAAGAGATCACCCCTGGGAAGAGACACAGGAGCTGTTCCCATATCCAAAGTGACAGAGTGGCATCACTGTCATTTCAAACATGCCACAGCACACCAAACCCTGAGGATGTTTTCCCCTGCTCTACCTGGCTCTCCTTGGTACACGTGGCATGTAAAACAATGGCCAGTGGCACAAACAAACATCTGTGAGGGCTCTGAAAATAGAACCTGCCCCACAGAGCAGATGTGAACTTCAAATGCACGCAGCAGCCTCCTTCTTGGCTGAGTATTTCATTCCAGCTCGCTGAGAGCAAAGGGAACATCTTTTTGTTTGCTGGATTACAGGTGGGGGATTTTCCCCAAGCTGGCCCAGCTCTGTTCCCAGCTAAGCACACAGAGTTTTAGAACACACTTTCATGGTCAGAGCTCCAGAGGCCACTTTCAAAAGCTCCTAAGCATTCCTGCCCCAAGGCCAACATTTCTGAAGTGCTCTTTTAATGTGGAAACAATTTTCTGAGCTACCTTAAATAAGCAGTGTTTCAGGTCACTGTGAATAATTCATCAGGTACATTCTGGCACGTGTGCAAGCCACAATTATTCACAAACATTTGTGTTTAAGTAGATTTATAGATGGCAAACATATGGTAAGCAGCAGTGAGAGGCTCATTTCTTTTTTTATCTCCCAGCAGAGGTGTGTTTATGCCCACTTTCCCTCATTACCAGCAGCAGAAGCACAGCGTGGGCAGCTGGCAGACAGGCAGGAGGATGCACCTTAGCTCCCTGCTGCAGCCCTGGGGGCACAGCTCACCTTGAGGTCCCTGTGGATGATGGGGGTCTTGCACTGGTGCAGCCTGGCCACGGCCTCGCAGGTGTCACAGAAGATCTGCAGGACCTCGCTCTCGGTGAAGCCGGTCTGCAGGCGCTGGTTCATCAGGTTCACCACCTGCCCCCCTGCAGGGCACAGCAGCAGCACAGTGAGGTGTGGGTGCCAAACCATGGCAGGGACACAGCTCTGACCATCCCAAACCACAGCAGCAGCACAGTGAGGTGTGGGTGCCAAACCATGGCAGGGACAGAGCTCTGACCATCCCAAACCACAGCAGCAGCACAGTGAGGTGTGGGTGCCAAACCATGGCAGGGACAGAGCTCTGACCATCCCAAACCACAGCAGCAGCACAGTGAGGTGTGGGTGCCAAACCATGGCAGGGACAGAGCTCTGACCATCCCAAACCACAGCAGCAGCACAGTGAGGTGTGGGTGCCAAACCATGGCAGGGACAGAGCTCTGACCATCCCAAACCACAGCAGCAGCACAGTGAGGTGTGGGTGCCAAACCATGGCAGGGACAGAGCTCTGACCATCCCAAACCACAGCAGCAGCACAGTGAGGTGTGGGTGCCAAACCATGGCAGGGACAGAGCTCTGACCATCCCAAACCACAGCAGCAGCACAGTGAGGTGTGGGTGCCAAACCATGGCAGGGACAGAGCTCTGACCATCCCAAACCACAGCAGCAGCACAGTGAGGTGTGGGTGCCAAACCATGGCAGGGACAGAGCTCTGACCATCCCAAACCACAGCAGCAGCACAGTGAGGTGTGGGTGCCAAACCATGGCAGGGACAGAGCTCTGACCATCCCAAACCACAGCAGCAGCACAGTGAGGTGTGGGTGCCAAACCATGGCAGGGACAGAGCTCTGACCATCCCAAACCACAGCAGCAGCACAGTGAGGTGTGGGTGCCAAACCATGGCAGGGACAGAGCTCTGACCATCCCAAACCACAGCAGCAGCACAGTGAGGTGTGGGTGCCAAACCATGGCAGGGACAGAGCTCTGACCATCCCAAACCACAGCAGCAGCACAGTGAGGTGTGGGTGCCAAACCATGGCAGGGACAGAGCTCTGACCATCCCAAACCACAGCAGCAGCACAGTGAGGTGTGGGTGCCAAACCATGGCAGGGACAGAGCTCTGACCATCCCAAACCACAGCAGCAGCACAGTGAGGTGTGGGTGCCAAACCATGGCAGGGACAGAGCTCTGACCATCCCAAACCACAGCAGCAGCACAGTGAGGTGTGGGTGCCAAACCATGGCAGGGACAGAGCTCTGACCATCCCAAACCACAGCAGCAGCACAGTGAGGTGTGGGTGCCAAACCATGGCAGGGACAGAGCTCTGACCATCCCAAACCACAGCAGCAGCACAGTGAGGTGTGGGTGCCAAACCATGGCAGGGACAGAGCTCTGACCATCCCAAACCACAGCAGCAGCACAGTGAGGTGTGGGTGCCAAACCATGGCAGGGACAGAGCTCTGACCATCCCAAACCACAGCAGCAGCACAGTGAGGTGTGGGTGCCAAACCATGGCAGGGACAGAGCTCTGACCATCCCAAACCACAGCAGCAGCACAGTGAGGTGTGGGTGCCAAACCATGGCAGGGACAGAGCTCTGACCATCCCAAACCACAGCAGCAGCACAGTGAGGTGTGGGTGCCAAACCATGGCAGGGACAGAGCTCTGACCATCCCAAACCACAGCAGCAGCACAGTGAGGTGTGGGTGCCAAACCATGGCAGGGACAGAGCTCTGACCATCCCAAACCACAGCAGCAGCACAGTGAGGTGTGGGTGCCAAACCATGGCAGGGACAGAGCTCTGACCATCCCAAACCACAGCAGCAGCACAGTGAGGTGTGGGTGCCAAACCATGGCAGGGACAGAGCTCTGACCATCCCAAACCACAGCAGCAGCACAGTGAGGTGTGGGTGCCAAACCATGGCAGGGACAGAGCTCTGACCATCCCAAACCACAGCAGCAGCACAGTGAGGTGTGGGTGCCAAACCATGGCAGGGACAGAGCTCTGACCATCCCAAACCATGGCAGGGGCACAGCTCTGACCATCCCAAACCACAGCAGCAGCACAGTGAGGTGTGGGGTGCCAAACCCCAGCAGGGACACAGCTCTGACCATCCCCAGTCACAGCAGGGACACAGCTCTGACCATCCCCAGTCACAGCAGGGACACAGCTCTGATCATCCCCAGTCACAGCAGGGACACAGCTCTGACCATCCCAAACCCCAGCAGGGACACTGAGCTCTGGGTCCCCAGTGACATCAGGGACAGTGAGGCATTTGGGGCACCCACAGCCCACAGATCAGTCTGCCTCACGTAAGCAAGAGGAGGGAGGAAGGGAGACACTCAGAAAACCCACATGTTAAGTGGCTTGGCTGAAGTTGCTGACTGCAAAGAATTAAAAATCCATCTGTAACAAGGGAAACTCTGGACAAACAAAAGCCAGTTTTCATGAACGAGTCCTGAATTTGTCTCAGCTTTGGGGTTTTGTTGCTGTCAAGGCCTTTCCAAAACAATCCTGAGGGTTTTTTCTCCTCTAAACGCCCTAGACAGACAGAGAAAAACTCTTTTCTGAAGCTCTGGTGAAGCAGTACTGCATCATTCCACATCACAATTGCTGGAAAACTTTCGTGGTAGGAAAGAAAAGCTCAGTTTAATGAATACTACAGCTGTGAACATTTTACACCCAAAATGAATGCAGCTCTGCACACAAAGGCACTGATTTGGTTTGGAAAGTGTCGGCCACAAAAGGAAAGTAACAAGGGAAAATCAGTGTGTAACAACCATTGCAGGGGGAGGGCTGCAGGCAGCACCACAGCATCTGGCAAGAGCCATGTGAGAAAAGCCACCTCCTTCCAGATGGAAGGAAACTCCTCAGAAAGATGGGCTTTACTTCTTCTTCAGCCCAAAATGTGGCTACTGCAGCTGGGGGGTGCCTGTGAACAGCTCAGGTTTGTACCTCCCCCACACTGGGCTCTGCACTTGGGGCTGAGCAGGGATTTGCCAGCACTGGTCATGCTTAGCTTGAAGCTTAAAGAGATATTATGGGTGATTCCTTCACCAAAACTGCCCAAAAATTCTTGGTCGCACCAGCAAACAACCCAGGGCAAGGCAGGCCAGACTCCTGCAGCAAAACACAGCAGCAAAGAGGACGTGGCAGAGCAGAAGCCTGCACTGGGCCTGTTTACACACATCTACAGGTGTGTAAATGCTACACTGCTTTTCAGTTCAAAGCCAGACAGGTCCAAAAATACCCATTTCCCTCAGCTGCCACCATCCAAACCAGCCACAGGCTCCTGAAGTCACCTGGCCAAAACATTAATTTGCTGGGCACTCTCCTGCAAGAAGCATTTGAGCCCAGCACATGCATCATGCTCCAAACACCACGTTCCAACCACAAAGATCAAAGCTTTGGCACAGCTGGAAGAGCCTGTCTGGCTACAGACAGCCAAGCAAAAAGGTCAGAGGTAACAGGAATGCTTTTTGGCTTCCCATTATCCATGTCTTGCTTCTTCCAGAACAATCCTAAGCCAGGCTGATGTGGAACAAAGCTTGCAATGAGACTAAAGTGAAGAAAAATTACATTCCTGGCTGCTTTAAGAGGAACCACTTCTTGTGTGGAGCATTCTAAAGACAACAGCAAGATGTATTTAAGGGTTCTCCTTCACAACAGAAGGGTACAGGACCACCCTGGGCAGCAGCAAAGATGGTACCAATGCCACTGGCAGAGTCAACAGAGCCCACTCCTGGCTTTGCTCAGCTCAGAACACCTTCCTGCAGCTTAGGGACAGCTCTTTTTCCCAAAGGAAGATGTGCAAGGTTCCTGGAGGCACAGAAGGACAAGCCCACCCACAAGCAGCCCCACAGAGCCCCACTCACCACGGCAGAAGTCCATGAGGATCAGCACCTCCCACACGTCCCCGCTGCTGACGGAGTTGATGCTGGAGTCGATGTAGCCCACAATGTTCTTGTGGCCAGACAGATCCCGCTGCAAGACAGACAAATGTACACGTGGAGCAGCCAAATGTACACGTGGAGCAGCCCAAATCACAATCACACCATGGACCAGCCCAAATCACACCATGGAGCAGCCAAAACCATGGACCAGCCACATCCACACGTGGACCAGCCCAAATCTCCCCAGGGACCAGCCACAGTCACCCCAGGGACCAGCCCAAATCTCCCCAGGGACCAGCCACAGTCACCCCAGGGACCAGCCCAAATCACACCATGGAGCAGCCAAAACCATGGACCAGCCACATCCACACGTGGACCAGCCCAAATCTCACCAGGGACCAGCCCAAATCTCACCAGGGACCAGCCACAGTCACACCAGGGACCAGCCACAGTCACACCAGGGACCAGCCACAATCACACCAGGGACCAGCCACAGTCACACCAGGGACCAGCCCAAATCACACCAGGGACCAGCCACAATCACACCAGGGACCAGCCCAAATCTCACTAGGGACCAGCCACAATCACACCAGGGACCAACCCAAATCACACCAAGGACCATCTCCATCCACACCAGGGACCCTCCTCATCCTCACTTTCCATGAGCCACCATTCCAAAGGCACCAAAGACAGGGAGACAAGAGAAAGCAGCAGCAGGTGAAAGCCAAGTAAACAAGCTTTGATGTGAGATCTAATCTCACCTTTTCCCTCGTAGCCCAAAGCTTCCCTGCACTATCACAAACTACAGCAGTTCACTTAAAAGGTATTAACCTAATTTAAAGCCACTGCAGAAATCACACTCAGAATTGCTACAGGTAGGAGTTTCTGACATCCACCCCAAACCTGTGCCTCGTGTGGTAAATTCACAAAATGAGAATTTTATGTTTATTTCCCCACCTGGCAGCTGCTCTAAATGCTCATCAGTATCTTTGAATACAACTTCAAAAGTGGCACTTCTATGTTTACCAAACAAGATTAGGCAAATCTATTTGGATCACCTCCATTTTGTCTTTGTTTAGGGAAGCTAAGTTTGAAACACCTATTAAAAATAGCTATCCCATCATATAAATCCCTGTGTCCAATAATCTAGAGAAACATCCCAGAGCTTATTACAAATATTTTACGTTTCAAAAGCCCTGGCAGCAGCTACCCCACAAATAGTGTTTTAATCTACCAACCTCAGCGATGCAGAGATAACCTTCAGCCCAGCCCAAAGGATTAGAAGATGCTGTGATACAGATTTATCTCAGGATGGAGGTCTGCCATTCATGCACTGATTTCAGTTCAGAGGTATCAGAATATCAGCCTTTTCTCACTGAGTTTAAAAGGCTGAAGTCTTGAGATCTCAACTGAAGATTGCAAGACTGAATTCCAACATCCCCAGCCATCCTTCAGCCCTTCCTTTTCCCATTAAGCCATGCAGCTCTCCCCTCCTGGAATTCCCTGGTTTTTTCAGGTTTTCCTTGTCCACTGGACAGGAAGTTTTGAAACAGGTCAGTACCAGATCTTCACACAACTCCAGAGGTCAGGTTTTCCCACACAAAAGCCATTTCTGCTAGGAAAACACACCATTTGTGCCCTGATGCCACAGAGCTCCCAAGCAGAAGGTGCCCGGGCTGCCAGCCCTGCACTGCAGCCTGGCCCAGCACAGAGCAGGCACTCACCATGATCTGGATCTCCCTCTTGCAGACCTGCAGGTCGTACTCGTTGTTGACATACATCCTCTTCAGGGCACACTTCACCCCATTGCTCGTCCTCACCAGGAACACGATTGCAAAGCCACCTAGGGAGGACACAAAATCACAAAATCATTAACAAAAAACTTCTCTGCTCCCAATCCTGGCCCTGCCAGGGGGTGCAGCAGGGACAGGGGGACACTGAGCAGCTCCCATGGTGGCAGTGCTCCTTCCCTGCCCCTCTCCCTGGACAGTTATCTCTAGGAACTCACAAGGGGTAATCTTCAATTAATGGCAACGAAGTTAACACTTAACATCTCCATAAAAACAAGCAATTACACCAGTTCCTGATCCTGCCAGACAGTCCTTCATTGCTCCATTAATTCCCATTATGAAGAAGAAAGCTGAAGGACAGCAATGCTGCCTTGGGCAGAAATCAGAGCTACAGATCACCCACTGAACCACCAAAGGCCTCAGCTTAAAAGGCTCTGCAACTTTGAAGCATCTAAGTTCCATTACAAAGCTGATATGTGCAAGAAGCAGAAGAAACACCTCCCACAAGCAGTTTGATGTTAATGCTTTTAAATCGGGACAGAAGAACAAGGGAAAAACCCACAATTCATTCTGTGGTCATTGCTATTAGTAAAGTCAGGATTCCCAGGATAAATTGACTTGTTTCAGATGAAAGCCTTTCATCTCTGTCAGCTCTCCATCCAAATACACAAGTTTGCATTTGTAGTCCTGGCAGAAATAGGAGGCTGAAGGAGGATGGAGGGGTAGAGGCATCAGAAGTTTCACACCTGGCTCTGCAGATGGAATGATTTTGGGCAGAGTGGCACAGATCCAAGCAGCCACAAGTGACAAGGGAGGCACAGTGACACTGCTGATGCCACAGCCCAGCAGCACCTCACACTGCACACGTCTTTCTTTTATGTTTTCAATGTTTTTTATGACCTTACAGCTCCTCTTCCACCTCAACACAGGAGTTACACACACAGGTAACTCACCTGCCAGCACGGGAACTGCTCAGCAGGAATCTCTCCTGGCAGGCAAACCCCTCAGTTTTACACAGATTCTTCTGTCTGCCACAGAACTAGAGCAGCCTTTCCAAGGAAGCCCCACTGACTTCTAGAAACAGCCCCAGAGATGCAGCAGAAAGATGGGACAGAAAGAAGAAACAAAAAAAAAAACATTCCTGCTCCATTCCCTCCCCACCAAAAAAAAAAAAAAAAAGCATCATCAAGACTTCAATTAAAGGTCTTCAAAAGTACAGCCAGGCTGCAAAATGGACACTCAAACTCAGAAAAGTGGGACATGGCCCTGGGATGCAGCACGTCACAGCTGCTGGAGCCCCCTCGCAGCTCTGGAGGGGCCTCCGTGCACAGAGCTCAATTCAGACCCAAAAATAACCCTGACTCTGCCTGGAGCTGCCTCAAGTTGAGGATCTCAAATTACAAGTCATTTTTAAGAGCTTCTGAACCCACAGCAGTAGCCTTCTTGTTCTCCCCAGCCACATTTGTCTCGTTTTTGGAGAACAAATCTGCACATCCCGCTGTGAATCTTCAGCCCAAAGGGTGCTTGTGGAAAAGAGGAACAGCACTGCACTGATTTTTCTTCCCCTTCTTATAACCCACAACAGAGCCAGAAAGAAATAAGGGACCATACCCAACACAATTTTCCCAACCCCTACGTTGTTAACAGCCTATATTTTTCAGAATTATTGCAGAGATCAGGCTTGGAATAATTTTTTAAAAATTTCTATACAGTATTTCCATGGATTTCAGAAAATATACTAGAGAAAAAAAAATACTAAGAAAACCCAGAGCTGTTTTTTCAAAGTTTATTACAGTCCCAATTTTGGTTTTGGTAATAACAACACTTTTGGGTTTCCCTCCCCCCCAAAACGAGCAGGAGAAGCCCCTGGGGTGGAGCAGGGGCTCAGTTCCCTTTCCCCAGCTCTGGCCAGCAGGATATGGGATCTCTGTTTGCAGTGCTGTGCTCAGCAGAAAGAAACACGAGCTGAGCAGCAAAAATACATGAATTAAACTTATTTTTTTTAAAAAAAAAAAGCAGCTTCACTAAGCTCAAGAAGCTCCTCCTGCTCCCAAACCTTTGCTTCAGCTGAGTGGGACTGGAGCCTCTTCAGACCCCCTGCCAGTGCCTCATTCACAGGTCCCTTCCCTCTACCAGGATCCTGGGCTAATTAACAGAGTCACCTCCATTAGAGCACCCTCGTTAGAACATGCACATCCTGCACAGGCCAGCTGGCACAGAAAACTCCACTCTGTGCAAGGCAGAACACAGATGCAGCATCCCAGGAGCTCAGGGGGAAGAGACCTCCCCAACCCCAAAATGTTCATTGCTGACTGCTCAGGAACTGTGCAGAGACAAAGAAAATGGCCACAAAGTGTGGCACTGCACAAAACCTGCAGAGTTTTAAGGCTGGGGGCAGGTGCAAACACACCTGAAGCACTGAAGGACCTGAAACCCTTTTATTGGCAATTGTGGCCATCAAATGCACACCACAAAGGAGCTGAGAAGGAGCTGTGCTCCTCAGGAGCACTCACAGCTCAGGTGTGACAGCACAGGGCAGCAGGACCCAGCAGATGGCCCAGAGTGTCCCTTGGCAGCAGCAGCCAGCCCAGGGAGGGGCTGAGCTACCCAGAACTGGGCTGCAGCCAGCACTGCTCATCCAGGGCCTTCTGATTCAAATTCTGAAGGCTTTCAGACCCCCCTTCACCCAGCACTGCTTATCCAGGACCTTCTGATTCAAATTCTGAAGGATTTCAGAGCCCCCTTCACCCAGCACTGCTTATCCAGGACCTTCTGATTCAAATTCTGAAGGATTCCAGAGCTCCCTTCACCCAGCACTGCTCATCCAGGACCTTCTGAAGGATTCCAGAGCTCCCTTCACCCAGCACTGCTTATCCAGGAACTTCTGATTCTTCTGGTTCAAATTCTGATGGATTTCAGAGCTCCCTTCACCAAACACTGCTTATCCAGGACCTTCTGATGGATTCCAGAGCTGCTTTCACCCAGCACTTCCAGCAGAGCAGGGGCTGCTCCCAGAGGCTGGTGGGTCTCCTGTGGGCTGCAGCCCTGCCAGGTCACTGCCCACTCCACAGCCAGGCTTTGCCCAGATGTGTCACCCATCTGAACTCTGTTTTTCACTGTTTTTTTCTTTCTGTTTTTGTCAGCATCGTGCTGAAAATCACACATTTACCTTATCTTTTAACTGCTGACAGCTGCCTAACCCTTCCTCCTTGCCCACTGCACATCTACACCACCAGCACCTCCTCCTCAGCCTCCAGAGCTCCAGACCACAACCAATTTCTCCCTCATTATTCCAGTCCAACCCCCAACTTGGCTAAATCCGGGTGAAGTTGAAAGGAAACAGATCAAAGACAAATTTCCAAGCAATTATGGTGAAGCCCTGCCAGATGCACATTACAGGACCATTTACTCCTCTTCTCAGAGAGCAGCATGACAACAGCAGGCACTGCCAGCTCCAACACAAAGATGATCATCCTGGGACCTGAGCAGCTCCCAGCAGCCAGGTCAGCTCAGGAGCCTGTGCCACACGTGCCCAGGGAGGGTGGGTCACACACAGGCACAGCTTAGAGGCAAAGGATTCCAGGCACCAGGAAAATCCTCATATCTCTGTGGTAAATCCTCTTTTCCAGTGCACGTGTGGAAAGCAAAGGCACGAGACCAGTGCAGGCTTCAGCTGCAACAGAAGAAATAAATCCAGAGACTTGCAAGTGCCAGAAGGGACAAGAGCAAGAGCTGAGAGTCACCTCAGAGGAGTTTGCTCCTGCACATGTGCCTCTGATTTAAGGTTCTGAAGGAAATTCAACTCTCTTCCCACACCAGCCAGCAAAAACTAAAATACCCTTCCCATTCTAAAACGTGAGAAGTTATTTCTGTGCTCACCCATAAGACATACTGATATTGTTGAGCAGGCAGCACTGGGATCACCATCAGCTCAGAGCCAGCACTACAGGGGTCTCTCTGGGGAAACTTCTTTTTGTGTCTCTTTGGCACTTCAGGCCTGCCTGAACTGCATGGAAACATGGTTATCCTGCTACACACTGCTGCCTGACTGTTGTTCTTGCTAAAAGGTTTTAGGATAAGCTGAAAAAATACTGGGAAGTTCCAATTATCTCCAGTCACTACAGATGCCAAAGCAATTTTCCATGCAGGTTTGTGTCAGGGCACTGGCCAGCTGCCAGCTCTGGTAGTTATGTTTTCAGCCCTTCTGTAATTTCAGCAGGATGCACAACTCCTCACAGCCAGGAAAGCACTTCTAAACCAGGTAAGAGAGCTGCACGTGATCCCTCCCAGCTCCTGCGAGGTAAGGAGATAGCTGTGCTGACTTCAAGGCATTCATGCTGGACTGCAGGCTGCAATGCTCCTGCAGCCAGCAGTGCCAACCAAGCATGGAATTTACACCAGCTGCCCCCCACCCAGTGCTCTGCATGCAGCCAGCCCACTGTGCCTCAGCAGTGCAGCTGAGGGGAAGCCAAGTGCTGCTCAGATGTCCCCAAAACTGCCCCAGGAACATTCAGCCTCCAGGGACAGCCAGCGAGGCATTTTAAGCTGCAGCTGTACCAGCAGGCACTTAATTTTAAGTGCTCTGCTGAACCAGGCACAAAGCCACTCCATTTGCACAATTCCAATACTCACTGATCCTTATCCATCAAGAATTATGTCATGTTTTGCCTTATCTCACCAGCCAGAAGAACTTCCTTAGCACTTACCTCCCTAAGTACAAGGGCAGGCTCACTCAGGTTTTGTTTTTTCCCCACAGTCAGGATGCTGTGATCCAGCTACAGGAAAACCACAGTGACTCCCTTGCACGGGGTGTTTCCAGCTCACCATTCCCAAAGCTTTACTGAAGCACAGAAATGTGGTTTTCCCCCAGTCAGAGCCACAAGCAGCTGTCACAGCCACTGCACATCACCCATCACTGGACATCATCACCTGCCAACACCAGAACCATTTTTTCTCTGCTGCTGTCCTGAGGAAACCATCCTGCACCTCTGGCTCCTAATTGGAGCAACATACAGTCATTCAAAAATAAAAATAGAAAGTTTTTTCCCCAAGT